ATACGCGAGAGATTTTTGAATGATGTCAATAAGTCACAATCTCAAGTCGAATGATGACCGTTTGACCGGCCAGGGATGGACCCTCAATGGCTCTCAGTTGTCGCCCGAGATAAATGTTTTTACTGGCTCTTATATATGTAAAAAGAATGCAAAAAGATCCCGCAGTGAAATGGCTTTTTGCGAAAAAGCATCTTGAAATAAAGCCCTTTTCTAGACATAGGTATATTGATACCCGCTGTCAGCAAATGCTACCAAACTGACATTTGGTATAAGTAAATCGTTTGTGAGCTCCAACAGAAAAGACCTGAGCTGGAACTCAAAATGTTATCGGGAACGCTTATGATGATGCTAGTGAAGCGAAACCGAACACTCCAAACTCTCACTTTTTCAAGATTCCGCTCTCATTTTATTCCAACGCCAGCAACAATCATGGAAGCTCTGCACCATCACCAAAGCGCCATTGATTGCAACAATATGGGACTTGCGCACTGGAATTCCGGTGAAGGTCTTGGTGCCATTGAATTTTTGTTCACGGCTTACCGTCACTGCCTAAAAAGCTTCAGTTTTCTGGTCGGGAGTGACAATGGTGAAGCGAGGAAAGCCAATTTCAGTGTGAACGAAGCCATGGAATCATGTCTGAAAGCCGTAGGAGAAAAACAAGAGCTTGCAAACAATGTCTTCCACACAGGCATCCGAGTCCCTTCCAGTCCTGAAGTGCGGAGCAATCCCTCAGACGCGAACAAGACCATGGTTCTGTATGCGGTAGTCTTTAACTTGGCAGTTGCCCATCACCTCGTGGCCAAGTGGGGGAACATCGAAATGCCCAGTGCTATGCAAGAAAATTTCCAGAGAACGGCGATAGAGTTCTATCAAATGGGCTTGCAAATGCAACAGGAAATTTCTAGCTGTGGGATGTACACTATTGCAATTTTGAACAATCTTGCTCATCTGTACTCGACTTTGGGCGATGCTGAAAAGTCAGCATTCTACTTTTCAGAGATGCTATCAAGAATAGCAGCTCTTGAAGAGGCAATCGTGGGCGAATACGATGCTCATGCGTCCAAGCTACAACAAATTGCCTCCAGTGCTGCCGCAGCGGCATGAGCTGGATCCGTCCTCGACACTGGCTTTTGCACGACAATCCCCCCCCCCCCGGAATTCCCAAAGACGATTTTGAACCAGATAGAAACCAGATTTTACGAACCGAATATTATAAAACCCTTTTTGTTGCTTTTACTTGTTTTTGGCGCTCATGGAACTTGTCATTCAAGCTATCATTGTCAGGTGCTCGGATTGAAATGTGCCGCCAAGTCTTGATGCTCCGGTCACTCTCAACTCTCAAAAATCGGGTCCCATCGTGGCCTGTCCGCCGACCTCCTTAACTCGCGACTAACATCACAAGATCCATGGATGGCCTTTCCGTGAACTTCAAAATGAAACGAAATGAACAGCGCGCTCTTTTCCACCCAGACTACATCCATTCGTTCATGATTTAGAAACATGCTTCCAAAAAACAACTGGAGTATAAACAATGAAAGAGCACAAAGTTCATGCCGGGGATTCATGCACAGATGATACAGAAACCCCGCACATCCCACGTACAGCAATACATGAAACCATCGTTTCCAATCCAGGGATAACAGAACGATTAGAACAGGACATTGGATGTTTTGCTCGCTATGGCTTTTCTTTTCGCCGAGACGATGAGACTGGAAACGGTGTCTTGGTTTCGCCTTTAGTCCTACCCACTGCAAGCTCATTTGCCAGACTTCAAATCACCGTTTCGGATGTGTCTCTGGTGGCTTCGATAGGGCCATTCTTACGAACACTTGTGCGATTATGCGTCCACCCCATTCGGCCCCAATCCTTGCTAGCTACAGTGGTTATCAAAGGGTGTATTGGAAGTAGTGGTAGCAGCAGCAGCCGAAGGCGGACCCCCGCTCGCAAAGAGGTCAGCAGCGCTGAAGGTGGTGTATCAGCTGCTGCTGCTCGATCCGTCGCACATGCCATTCATATGCTCATCCGCAACAGCATGGGCGCCGCATTATTTCTACGCTTGAAAGTAGTCTTGCCAGGAGCCCACGGTGAGGATGGTATTGTAGTCTTGAAAAGAGATCAAGTGCTGTTGCATATGCAGCGGAATGATGACGGCTGTTATGAGTATCCTTCCGTCGAGATCTGTGACCATGACGATCACATCATGCTGACACAGCCAACGAAAGAGACACCAGGCGATGATAATGCAAGAAATCCTTTCTCTATTGACTTGGGATTGGTCGAAGACTTCGAGGGGGCTCCGCCAAGTGTTACAAAGCCACTACAACAGAACTGTCTCCATGGCTATGATCCTAGTTGCCATTTCCTCGACTTGACAGTTTCTACCCGCATGTGCACTGTCCGGCTAACACCACTTCTTTACGATCTTTCCCAACGTTTGCTACTCTCACTACTGGAGGGCAACATTGGTGAAGCAAATGTCGACAAGGGTCGTCCAATCAATGGCGCGAAGAGGTCTGCAACCTTGATGATATGTCTCGAAAAAGTATCTAATTTGTATCGAGTCCTCATGTTGTTGAGAGACTATAGCCGACGTCTCTTTCAAGAAAGTGAGGGTGATACACTGGCCGCCGAACAACCACAGCTGGTTATTATTTGTAAATCAGAGGATGTTGCACGACGGTTCGATTCCGAGGCTCAAAAGTTCATTTCCAAGAACTTCATCGACCAGAAGTCAGGCAAAAAGACTGGCCGTGCGATATGGACTCCACGTGTCTTGTCTGTGGCTCAAGCTGTCGAGTTTGTAACGGAAGAGGTAGCTCCGTCACCGGTAGTTGGGTTTGATCTTGATGATGGTGCAGTAACTCTTTCTGAGGCAAATTCTGACGCCAAGAGGTTGCTGGCTACTGCTGGGGCAGTGCTCCTGGGATACGAAAGCGATGGTATTCCCAAGGAACTTGACAAAAAATTGACGGACTATGTTCAAATAGACTCAAGGACTAGTATTAATGTGGTCGCTGCCTTTTCTATCCTGTGCCATTTGATTCTGAATTGAGTGATTGAAGAAAGGATGAATGAATCAATCAATCAATAAATCGATCAATCATTTGACTTGAGAGAGAAAATCTGAAATGATTGAAAAGAGGCCGCTACTTACAATATTGATGATGATAATAGTAATAATAATATCGCTAAGGTTAACTTATGTCCACCACTATTGGAATCAATTAGAGTCCAACAAAACAGTTTGAATGGACCTAGGTGGGATGGATCCTGATAAAACAACATCACCCCCATCATACAAGACGTAGTTGGCCGAGTCTCGCGCTTCATTCAGCAACACCACTGTACTTTCACTTTCTCCATTTGGAGTTGAAAATGCTCCCATTTGCAAAAAAGGCCATCCAGTAGTCATGCAGACTTCACCAGCATCAAGCACTGTGGTGATGATTTCTCCACCTGACGGATCGGAATACTTCCATTTGGATTGCCCTCCTGCACAGCTGCCGTACTTCACAGGTGCACCGCCACGTGGGCCCAAGGCACCACCATCATTTCCCAAATGGCCCAAAACCAGACATCGGTCCACACGCTTGCTAGTTTCTGGGACATTGGTTTGCACAAACTGCACCCAAGTAGAATTCGACGCGCTGTCAATCGGAACCATATCAAAGGTTGCTGCTAACTTTTTCTTGCAGTCTGTCAAAGTAATTCCCTTGAAACTCATGTCTGCTTCCTTTGCCAAGCATGACTTTGTCGGTTTTCCCAACCAGTCGTGACCCAATACTTTAATGCGCTTGGTATCTTCATCAAATTCAAATACTTGTCGAGTGGAACCCTCGCACGGCCAGGCAGTAACTTCAATTCCATTGCGAGCCAAATCATTGAAACCTCCACCAGGAACGACTTGTCCTTGCGATCGGAAGGCTCGATTCGGAGTAGTAAGAGGCGATGATTCTTCACTGGCCTTGGACTCTTGAATCAGGCCCGAAAGAGCCCTGGAGCCAGGACGGACATACCGTGAAATATGACCCATGTAATAGTAAATTGGTTGGACTGCTAAACCGGTGTCCAAATACTTGGCGGGGAAACCCAAGGCATTAAGTTCGGCTCTTGTACGGGTATCTCCCACATTGACTCCAAACTGGTGCTTGGTTTTTTCAAAAGGCAAAGTGGGAGGAATATCCGCTTCCGACCCATTGACAATGGCCCGATGTGGCACAGCCAAGATTCCAGTGTCACAAAGATTGTTCAAGTGGTTGGGTCCTCCGACCGAATCCAATACCAGATTCCATTCGACCCATCCGTTACTTCCAGCTGCCAAGTCGGCCAAAATGGTATGGACATATCGCTCGGCACGAGCCCAATAGACTTCAATGGAACCCCCCGCATAACCCGTGTAGGGACAGTGGCACGCTTCACTACCTAGAATGATGTGCTCCTTGCCTTGATTTGGTGCTACTGTCGCGATGGTCTCGTTCGGCAGGGTGTCATTGACATCCTGCTCCGTCGTCTTGGTTTCAAACAAGTCCTTCAATGTCGATTGGAATCGATGCAAATTGGGAGAGCCGACTGCACCATCTAGCAATCGATCCATACCACCTGCATACCAGTGATAGGCAGTGCCATCAATATACTTGTACGATGGATGTGCCGTTTCATTCAGTAGTAGCTTGGCCCACGTAATCATGTGATCCTTGTTGTGATCAAACATAAGTACTTTGATGTCTGGATGATCCTTTTCCAATTGCGGACCGAGATGGTATGCCACAAAGTCGGCTTGGGCTTCGGGAGTGTAGGCACAGGCTTCCCAAGGTGCTGGGAACTCTGGTTCGTTCTGCACGGTAATGCCCCAGAGGTCAATCCCATGTTCGCGGTCTGGTGAAATTGAGTGTAACAGTATAAAGATGAATGAAATGATATCCAGCAGGCAAAGCAGAACGTAGCATACGTACAAGTAGTAATGAATTTGGAAAAGTAGAGCGCCCAAGCCTTGGCATATCGTGAATCCTTGCCAGTACCTTCTCTCAAGCAACTAGGCGTTGTACTTCCCGTCATACCAGCAGCGTGGGTCGCATTTTCTGGATCGACGTCATAGATTGGATTCTTCATCCAGGCTGGAGGAGACCAAGGAGAAGCGTACATGAGCAAGTTGCCATCCTTTAATCTTGTAGGATCAATCTCCTCTCCCTCAACCTCTGCGGCCGGCTTCCAGGCTCTTTCAAAAACCGATGTCGCCCTTCGAATCATATCCATCATTCCGTCTTTCTGGTTATCGTGCGTGGCATTCGTGTCGAATTGTTCAAGCTCGAAATCTCCATCCACATCGTCAAAGCTGTACGATTTGACCGAGAAATCACAGGAATTAATGTGAACTCGGCCCAAGGCATAACCCAATCCCGATTTGCCAAAGTAAAGTTCCATCAAAGTTTCCTTTCCCTTCTCGGACAAGGATTGGTAGTTCAAAGACGCGGCTTCGGTAAAGGCAGCCCCAAATCCCAAAATGGGTTTGCGGTCTGCAAAGGAAGCGTCGTTCAAGGAAATATTGAGAATCGCATCAGGATTTCCGTACTCGTTCACATGAGCATCAGGGGGAGTAGGAGACTTGGCCCACTTTCGGACCTTCTCCGGCTCAGCATAACAAGGAATTCGAGACCATTGTTGACTTGGAGATCCCATACTCGTTTGCAGAATACGCGCCGTCTTTTGATTATGATAAGTCATACAATAAGGTCGGTATTGCAATGGAGCGGTCGTGGTAGAAGCTGAAGCATCTTCTGATGTTTCAGAATTCTCCTCAGCCGCTGATGGCAATTCAGGTGGTGGTGGCAAATCGCTGCTATTTTCTACAACCTTATCTGTTGCATTGAAATGCCGATCGTACAGATGAGTGCCAATGATTGCGAGAAGGGCGACAATCACTAGTTTGGCGACTCCAGAACTGCAGGTAGATTTCTCCTTGGTTTCATTTTCCATGGTTTCCGGTGCTTGACCGTTTTTGCCATGATAAATGAGTGGTTGGGTTTCTCCCATTGGTGGCGACATGATTGTGGTTTTGGTTTTGGTTTTGGTTGGCTGCGACGAGGATCAGAGTTGTTTCGATCAGAATGATGGGTCTTTCTTCCAATGGTGGCGAGCGGTGACACAAAGAAGCGTGGTAGTGGTAGACGCTGTGTTCTATTTGCTTTTTCGCACAGAAACAATGTCCCTTGCACTTGGTTTGTTTCGTCGAATGACCACAACTCGAAGAAGGCTTGGTGCCAAAGGAGAAGGAAGTGAAGTCATCACCTTCAAAAGATCCTTCACTTTTCATTGGTGCAAATGTAATCTTGGACCACTTGGACCAGAATGGCAGTTTGACGCCTTCGACTTGAACACGGAAGGACAGTGTGTGTAATCTGTCTGGTCTCCAACAGCAGCTGCTCTCCTTGACACTGGGACAGTTCTTGGCACAGCACCAGATTGCCAGATTGCCACCACTGCAGACGCAGCTGCGCTCGAAACCACTTTGACACCAAGAGGTGTCAAGTACCTACAGTACTGTATCAGACTACCTAGCTTTCCAACGCCACCACAAACACCAAAGGTAGTACCACCATAGTCCGTTTCTAAAGAAGAAAGGTTTAGATGGCCGTGATTCCCTTGCCCTTGAAACACAACCCGCCTCTCTTCCACCTCGCTCCCGAGGCTCAAGAAAGGAGGTTCGTCGCCGTCTGCAGCAGCATGTTATCAGCAGGCCAGCGGCCACCATCACCATGAGTTGAGACAGTGCAGCAATAGCAAGGAGGACACCGGTAGTGCCACAAACTAAAATCCCTTTCCAACGACCCGTCACCATTGGTGCTGACGACTGCTCACTCTAGCCTTTAAAAAATTCAATATGTTCAATGCTGTATTACCCTTCAACTGGAAAACTCACACACTCCAAGATTGATTCTTGGAAGTGGTTCGCCACGTCACCAGCATGTACAAAATGTCTTTTTCCGCACCAGCTGATCTCTTCTGTTCCCATACGTGGCACACAATCTGCTTAACGACCTTCTTTCATTCTGTCCGATCAGCAACCATCTCGATAAATTCGTTTTCGATTGAAGAACAATGTCCGATGGCTGCGAGTAAAATAAATCGGTGGTTTCTTGTCATGACTCGTTCTTTTCGCAATCGATAGTATCATACGACAGATTTGGACGGTTCGGGGGGATTGCGTAGCCATTTCCCACATAGATAGATTTTCCAACTTAGCAATCGTGATATTAGCACGTTGTTGGTTCTCATTCTGCCAAAGCCACACATCTCATTCTGTGAGCTCCCATAATGTCCAAATTGCATATTTTTTCAACCATAACTTCACAAAAAGTGCCAAACAAAATAGCTACCATTTTATACAAAACATCTACAAACTACAACCATGAGTCCTAACAATAACAACAACGGAAACATTGCATACACCAGTTCCTCGACCGACCAGTGCTCAGTAGATGAAAGGAGATACTCAAGCTTTCCTCCTTCTTCCGCAGCTCCTTCACTGTTTTCCTTGCTAGCAAACACATTTGAATCGCAATCGCCGATACCACTTTTCTCAGACAATGACGATGAGTCAGAAGGGACGGATCGCCAAAGACTCTGTGATATCCTCTCTTCTGCGCTTGACGTTGTGGGAGAGGACTCTTCCATCTACGGCGATTCTACTTTTGCATTCGGTTCCACGAAGCGGACTTCATCATCGCTTAATTCACAGCAAGATCATTCAAGTCCAAAGCAGTGAAGGCCGGTCCTAAAAATTAGCCCGTACATCCTACATATTTTTGACTCTATACTGGTTGATACATAAAACCTATTAGTTGATCCTTTTGTCACCTGTACTACTGCTGAATGATATATGCTGTGCTTTGTTTCGTTCTCGCTCGACTGGTGAGGGTCTTGCTTGCAATTTCCTCCTTTCTGCATGCTGTAGCCAGTCCAGGATGAAGACTGAAATCTAGGAGTGTCTTTACTACACAAGTATTGTCTTTGTCTTGCAGGGAAGAGTTGCTTCCAAAGAGTGTTGTGTAATACTAGGAGCGAGATGTAGGCTAGAAGAAGGATACTACAGTAGCCTACTAGGAGTACATCTTAGTGTTGTGTACTAACTTTGTCAAATACTTTTATAAGTAGGTTTCGTGTGAAGGGAGAATTCTGTGCACAAAGACTGCAACAAGGAAGGCCAAGTTCAAAGTTCCAGCTCAAGGGAAGGATGAACACGACCATTGCTGGAAGAAGCAAGCTTTGTGAGGATTCTTTGTCAGAACTTCTAGTGACAAAAATGCAGGTACAGACTGCATCCTTCTAGTGGGGAGCAAATTAATTATAACAATCCGCGGTTGAGAACAAGATATTAAATCCCTTATCAATTGGCTCTCTTGTCTGCTCAGAAGTTCTCCAACTATGGTGGCAGTTCAATGGCAGTTTATATATGAGAGACGTTGTCTTCGCCTTAAAGAAGCTGTTTTCTAGAGAACCTCGTCCCAGAAGATTATTCTGCCTTTAGTGTCCCTTCTTCTTCCCTTGGAACGATTCGATGACGTATGTTTAATGTTTTGCTATCAACGAAGGTTCGCTACGACCACGATACGTCTTTTCTGGTACATAGGAAAGCATTGCATTTGCGTTGACAAAAGTTCCAACTTCCAACATGAAATGCGGAGCTTCCACAATTTCCATTGGAAGTTGAGAGCTTATTTGAACACAGTATGTTACTGATTTTGGTCATTTTTTAAACTCAAGACCAGAAGTGCAGTAATACCTCACAACAAAGAATATCAACAATGAATCGTAATAACAACACCGCAAACAACACTGTACCTGCTGAACAGTGCCAAGGAAACAACAGAGCTGTAAGCAATGCTTCAGCACCACCAGATTCACTTGTTTCCATCTTCATGTCAGCAGGATATCAAAGAACATCCCAACGATTAATTCCCAGTCTACCGCCGCTTCCACTGTCATCAGAGGAGGACAGACAAGAAGGACTCTACGACATACTCTCTGCGGCGATTGAAATCGTGGATGATTCATCTGACATGTTTTCACAGTGCACCAACCGAATCTCCTCGTCCCGAAATACCAAGAGACGCCGCCTGGGGTCCAAGAGACAGAAAAACCAAGGAAGCCCAAGGCAGTGAGCACGCATCATCTTCGAGAACCAGTAACATTTGATCATATTCTTTCATTCTGTACTGTTAACATTAGACCATTATTTCATCGTGTATATGTCTTCTTCTTCCTCTAGTCTTGATGTATGGATTCTTAGAACACGCCATGCGCTTACCTTCGAGATTGGGTTGCAACACAACTTCATGAGAATATTTTCACTGTCGTCATGTCGAGACAGAAGACTTGGGTAAATCTTTCTTCTTTTGTTGTTTCAATCATTTCTCTTTCTTTTTTTTTCGGCCTCAAACTGTCGTATCGTTGACTAAGTTCTCATAGTGTACTGGAAGTGCCACCAACCAATGCGATTACTGTACGATACGAAGTGCATCGACCAAGAAGGCAAACGAACTGTATCATGCTTTTTATGATATATATATCTGTACTTTTCTCGTGCGTACGCAAGAAACATGGAGTGTTTGGATAAAAAAGGGGCGGCAACCAAAAATCAAGAGATGTACTACGCCCGTTGACCAAGAAGGCAAACATATTTTGCGTGCGTACGCAGAAACATGGATTGTTTGGAATAGAGGCGACCGCAACAAGAATCAACAAAAAGAAGACCAAGAAGGCAAACGAACTATTCTCTACAAAGGGTACTTCTTTGCGCGTACGCAAGAAACATGCGGGTACATGTGGATTGTTTTGAGTACGGTATCCACAACTAATAAAAAGTGACAAAAGAGGGTGACTGCTTGGTCTGTCCCGAGAAAAGAGACACGTCTAAGTACTACCTAGGAACAAAATCATTGTCCCTTTTTATTTTAAAAGTCATTCATTCATTCATAATATCTACCTATATACACTTTCACACATTTTCGCTAGGTTTGCGGATCTCGCTCGAAAAATCAATCCAACAAGAGAGAGAGAGAGAGAGATCACTGACCACCTAACCTATACAACAGAACGCGCGGAAGACCAAAAAGCCACACATGCATGCCCTCGCATGTCAACAAAGACTTTCTGCTTCCCCGTAATCTCCCCCTTTAGAAACGAACTCCAAACTGCGTCGTTGCTTCTCTGCCACTTTACCATGTGACATATTCTGGACGACTGTATCCATCGTAGTAGTTATCATATCGTGGATAGTCTCCATAATTGTTATTGTAGTTGTAGTTCCCGTAGTTATCATTGTAGTTGCCATTGTAGTTGTTGTTGTAGTCGTTGTTGCCAACATTGGCATAGTCATTACGTCCACCATTTCGGTTGTTGTTGCTGTAGTTGTTGCTGTAGTTGTTGCTGTATCTTGAGCTGCCACTTCGGGTGCCATATCCACCATTACCATTACCATTACCATTGTAGTTGTAGTTGTTACCGTATCGAGAATTGTACGAACCGCCATTGTTGCTGAATCCACTCTTCAAATTGTCCCACCAGCTCTTTACTTGACGGGATGGACCTTGGACATTTTCCTTGTAACCGACGGGTCGCATACCAAATCGATCGCGCTGCTGGTAGCCACCACCACGAGTGTCGTTCCATTCGTCTGGAGTGACACCGTTGCGTTGGTTGGGGGCCAGCATGGGTGGACCACCCCCAAAGGCACGAGTCTCCTGTCGTCCTACATTGGTGCGGTAGTCCTTAGATTCTTGATTCCACCAACTTCCTTGGCCTTGAGTAGGATCGTAAAGTCCATTATCGACAAAGTTGTTGTTGTTGTTGTTGTTCATCATCATCATGCGAGGATCGTTAAAGTTGTTTTGACCACCATAGACCATATTGCCATTGTACCCGTTCTGCATGTTTGCGCCGCGGCCAGGACCGGGGATCACATTGCGTTGACGTTTGGAATCTTGCCACTCGGCAGGAGTGACATCGTTGGGATCATAAATATTATTATCATATGTTCCAACCACTTGTCCACGTTGTCCTCCAAATCCGTAATTGAGGTCGTTGTTGCTGTTGTACTGTGGGAGTGGTGGCGGTGGTACCTGGTTGTAATTGTTTTGGTATTCAGGCACCACTGGAGGAGGCATACCATTGTTGTACTCGTAGGCTCGTCCATCGACGTCGTTGGCCCGCAGTATTTGACGGGGACGACCAGCGTTATTTCCAAAGGCCATGTTACCGTTGGGATTGAAATTTTCAGGGTAGCCATTGTTGTTGTAGCCCCCCGAGCCATTCTGCTTCCATTCGTCCGGAGTCACATCGTACCTGTTTGAGTTCACGTTGGCCACTGGCAAAAAGTTACTGTTGCGCATGCCATTGTTATTGTTCAAGTTGGTATTGTACTGGTTACTCGTGTAAACGCGTCGATCCAAGCGATTCTCTGAGGTGCGATAGTTCTTCTTTTCTTCGTTCCACCATCCAGCTTCTGTGGATTGCGGAGCTTCGTTGTAAATGGAAGGTGGTCCTGTCAAGGAATTGCGATTCCCATACGGACGGGTTCTGGGTTCTCCAATGGGAGCATTGTCACGATAATCCCGGTCCCATCGTTGTTGCTGCAGGGCTGTGGGAGACGGAAACGCAAGGTTGTTGGAAGCGAAGGGGCCGCCACCGATAGTAGTACTAGTGTGAGTGGGTTGACGAAGAGCCTTGCCGTTGACGCCGAGCGAGTGAACTCCGACTGCGGCCAAGAGGATGAGTGCGGAAACAAGTCTCATTGTAATTGTTGTTGAATATTCGTTTACTGCGGCTCTACTGGCTGGGTAAACGTCGTTGTGCGTTGTTGTTGTTGTTTGTAGAAACGTTGAGGTAGATGAGTGCTGCAGTAGGTATAGACTGAGTCTTCAAAGGAGTGCTTGCTACAGTATGGATTGCTTGGAATCCAAAGAACGAAAAGGGCTACTGTATGTACCGGTATGCTGCACAACAAGGTGTTTGTGATTTGCTATAGAATTCCTCACATTCATTTCCTCCAACCACAACATGTCATCTGCTTGGCGAGAATGATTCGAATGACGTGGCCAGAATACTTAACGAATTTTCGTCCGTTTTACGTTGGAATTCCTATGTCGGCGAGTACGTCAGTAAAAGTAGTAGTGGATTATTTTTCCTTTTGCAATCGTGAGCGATCACCACGTTGGGGGTGTCATCCTGCATGTGGTGTGTGTGATGTGACGTGACATCGCATTCGAATGAATCTTACTTTGGAGGTGTGATGGATTGAATGAATGGAAATTGGCGTTGCTACACTGTTTCCTCTCTTTTTATTCACCAATTTTTTTCACAACGGGCAAAATGAATACATACAGTGTACATCATTGATTCCTCATTGCCATACGGGTGAGTTGCCTTGATAAAAACTCAGTTGCCCCCCCCCCTCCCTCCCCCAATTTTTCATACTCAAGGATCACCACTTGATTGTACCGGTATGTAACTTTCTTAGATTGTTTAATTAAACCTAATAAATTATAATGTTACCTTGTGGCAAGCACAAAGATGCTTCCCTCGCCCAAAGTTCTCATTACTCCACTCGTTTGTTGTTGTTATTGATTGCGGATTATTATATGATGGACCGATTTTACTTCTGATCAAACCAACTTTTCAAAAAGTCATCATTACTCGTCGTTGTGTGACGTGCACGGTTTGAAATCCATCATCTTGCTGCTTTGGCCAACGGCTTTAGCCTTCGCATCTTACAGCTCTTGATGCCGTTGGTGATGCTGAACCTTCGCTTCGAATAAGCTTCTGATCAAAAGAGTTCCGATTGACCCAGTTGACCGAACTGTAGGGCGTCCGTTCCTCGATTGCCTTCTTTGGAAGGAGGGACTGACAACTACCGCCGTTCGTACATTGTCGGTATTTTTCAACCACCATCATGTGTGATGCTTCATCGGATGTTTTAGGAGATCCATAGAATCATCAATCAATCGATCAATCAATCAATCAATCGATTCATCAATCAATCAATCATCCTCAACAACAACAAGAAATTCAAAAACGAGTGTATTGACAGTAGAAACTATACCTACTACTAGACTCACCTTTGACGCACCCGTACGCTGCAATATATATTTCTCGGAGCAGACTTGACAATTGACACACATACACATATACACAAAAAGAAGAAAAGATCATGAAGTTCACAGGATTGTTTTCCAGTTGTCTCTTGGTTCTGTCCACCTCGGCGGGGACCCAAGCCTTTGTGCTGCCCAACAAAAGCATTTTAAAATCGGTAGAACTTTTGGCCATGGACATTGGAATGGAAAGTCGATTGGATGGTATCCAACGATCTTACAATGCCTTGACCGAGCGATTGGGAGATCCCGATGTGATTGGCGACTCCAAATTGCTACAAAAAGTAATGTCGGACAGAGCCCAAATTGAAGAAACGGTCTTGGCGTACGAAGAGTACTGTCGTTTGAAGGAAGAATCGGCAGGTGCCAAGGAACTCTTTCAAGAGGCTGGTGATGATCCAGAATTGAAAGAAATGGCACGAGCGGAAATGAAGGAGATTGAACCTCAGTTGGATGAGCTCGAAGAAAAGATGAAGGTTCTGCTTCTTCCAAAGGACCCAAATGATGATCGTAATATCATGCTTGAAATTCGTGCCGGAACTGGTGGATCAGAAGCTTCTATTTTTGCTGGTACGTAGGGGTGTTCTTGGTTGGGTGTTGATCGGAATGAAGGAATGCCAATCGTGGTTGTCAACATGCCTGCCAATCGTGGTTCTTTTGTCGTTTTACGTTGAAATCTAACGAACCCTATTTTATATTCTTGTCACGCCACACAGGAGATTTAGTAGATGTCTACCGCAAGTACATTAACTCTCAAGGGTGGCAAGCTAAGATTATTGACGAATCCAGTGGAGATGATGGAGGTTTCAAAAACATTGTCATGCAAGTAAATGGTGACAGTGTCTACTCCAAAATGAAATGGGAAGCCGGTGTGCATCGAGTCCAACGTGTGCCAGCGACCGAATCGCAAGGCCGTGTGCACACTTCCACAGCGACCGTTGCCATTATGCCAGAGTGTGACGATGTCGATGTCAATATCGACGCCAAGGATATTGAAATGTCCACCATGCGATCCGGTGGTGCTGGAGGACAGGTACGATTTTTTGTTTTCAATTCATTCTTGAGACACCATCAGTCATGGTAACATTGTATTTTGGAACAGTGCAAACTCTCACAACCACGTTCTCTCCTTTCAATTCGACATGACCACCACTGATATTTTCTACATGCAACTGCAGAATGTCAACAAAGTTGAAACAGCTGTTGATTTGCTGCACAAACCAACAGGCATCCGAATCAAGTGTACACAAGAGCGATCTCAATTAAAAAATAAAGAGTTGGCGATGCAGATGCTCCGAAGCAAATTGTTTGACATGGAAAACGAAAAGCGAGAAATGGAAGAGCGTGCTCGAAGAGGGTCTCAAGTTGGAACGGGCGGTCGATCCGAAAAGATCCGAACCTACAACTGGAAGGATTCTAGATGCAGTGATCACAGAATTGGACAGAATTATCCTCTTTCTCAATTTCTGAATGGTGACATTGATCCCATGATTAGTGCTATGATCATGAAGGATCAAGAAGAAAAGCTCAAGGAATTGTCAGAAGAATCTGCTGCTAGCTAAATTGTCCTACTTTGGTTCATTGTATGGTTTTGTGTCTCTAATTGTGTTTGTGTGTGTATGTGTGTGTATGTGTGTATATTCATCTGATTGCGCACCTTAGCAAAGACCAACCTAGTTTTTGTCTAGGCGCTGCCGTCAGTAACAACGTACAAAACTCCATGTTCATCTAAGGATTTGAGTATTTGGTCAAGGTTCGGTCGAAGCAACAATCCTCCATGAGTATCAATGAGCAAGGGCTGATAGTGACCAGGTAGATATTGAATGGTCAAGGTGTTCGCAGCCTTTCCCTCCTCTGACATCTTCTCGTAATACTTGCCCTTGTAAATGTCACAGACACCGGAGGTTGTGTCGAAAATGACAATGGCCCAGTCGCTAATCATGGCATCCCGAGAATCGAGCAAGTACACCAAAAAATCCGAGAAGGCTTGCACATGTTCACCAACTTGTCCAGACGCTACCCATTCTGGATGAGCAGCCACGACTGCTGCTTCAATGAACCGCTTAAATGATAGTGCCGTTTGTCGCAACATGTAAATGTCTTCGTCCATATTGTCCATAGCGCCAATCCCAGACAAGTACGATGTCGCCAACGAGAGGTAGAAACAAGAGTTTTCAATCTTCTGATTTTGTTCATTGAAGTTGATGGAGCCTGCATCGACTGCCTGTAAACCAAGACTTGTCATAACCTTGACCTGGGAGCTAATGTTAGAATCCAAGTTGGCCCCATGACTTGTGAACAACTCTTGCACGAGGCGACGGTGATCCTTCAACTCCGAATCCCAATGTGCTGTGCTCTTCAACGAACCACCACCTTTCTCCACAACGGAAGAAGTCGAGGAAACAAGGATTGACTGATATGCTCGAGCAATCCTTTCAAAATCGGAGGCCGATCCGCCCTTGTCGGGATGGTGAATTCGGGCCAAACGGCGATACGCCTTTTTGATATCCGCACGACTTGCAGCTTTGTCCACGCCCAGCACTTGGTAGGGTGTCTCCGTTTCATTATTCTTTCTTGACATGACTGGTGCATCCTTCCCTTGCCGCACCACTAAAGCACAATCCAATAGTGACAGCTCCAACGCACGCTTGAGAGCATTCTCTTCCAGAAAATTCGGGTCCTCTTGGGACAGTACTTGTAGTGTCTGCGACAGTGACTCCACAAGGTGCAAGTCTCTTCGTTTGATGCTGGGTTCATATCCCTCGCAATTCACTTCAGACCAGTGTTGGTCATCTCGAAGGTTCGTCACTGCCTGCAACCACAAGTTTGCATCGACAATGGGAATATTCAATGATCGGGCCAAGGAGCATTCAATATTCTGGGTGTAATCTTCTTCTTGAGAATTTTGGATCCACAATGCGTGGGTTGCTTCTTCCATCTCCCGAGTAACCTGTCCTCCCATGGTATGAACAATCTGAAAGGTCAAGTTCGTTTGAGATTTTCGGTTCAACAAATACAACTTTGCTCCATTTAGACGTCGTGTCATCCCATTACGTTTGGTAGAAAATACAATCCACGGGTCTAGTGCTGGTGGCCACTGAAGAGATCCTAATGTTGTTGTTGGTGGTGGTTGTTGTTGCAAGCAGGCAGTGGCGCTCATTTCTGTCCTTGCTTGGATTCTTATCAAATTGTGGAAAAAGGATCTTGGACAATTTTGGGATTGGTTCACGGAATTCGAAAAATCGTTCCGAATACGGTTTGACACCCGTCTTGCGCAGTCGTGGTGGTGGAGTGCAATATTTGCATACTAGAAATAATCACGGAAGCTAAAAATGTATTCTTATTTTACAATGTTCAATCATTAATAATAAACCCCGTTCCGTGTTCCCATGATGGTGTATAATATGTTGCAATTGTAGTGTTTATATTGCAACTCGTGCTTTCTTGTTTGGAACGGAATCGAAAGGATATGATGATGATACTGGGAATGGCTCGGCATCGTTGTTCATGTTTGGCATTGCCGCTGCTGCGGACCCACCATTCTTGGAGTTGCGTTTCGTCGTCGTACGAAAGCATTTGCTGACCTTGTCTCTTGCGTTCTCGTCGCTGGCTTCTGCCCAGCCAACTCCTGCACATTCATCCGAATCGTGAGACCGTTCCAAGAATCGACCTCCACCATCCTTGATGATTTCCACAATCGTCCAGTTGAGGTTCGTCTTGTGTAGTTTTCGAGCAGCCTTGTATTCGTGTCGCTTCTCGTCCACGATTCGGGCAAGTTCCAAATTACCGGGATGTTCCTGCTGATGCCATCCGCGGCCCATTAGAACATCTCTTGAACGTGGATGCAGGATGCGTCCCCCTTGCTCTTTCCTTCTTTCTTCGGCCTGTATTTGCTCTTCAATAAAGGCGTGTATCTTGGAGCAGTCCATCTGGCCATTATGGTCAAGAGGAAGGGACTCGTATGGAATGCCAAAGTTTTGCAAGGAGTATTTGATCTCCAGTGGAGATCCAAAGTGTGATCGGAAGCGCAACCTTGCGGCAGAGCCAACAATCATTTGCAGCATTGATAGGATGGGCTGCACAATCTCGTTATCATAGCAAAAGTGTACGCCCAGTATCTGTTGCGGCATGGCCTTTGCGATCATTGATGATCTCAAGAGAAGGTCAAGATGAAGGTTCGGAGTGGAGTAGTGTACATTGTAGTGCACCTGTACGGTTCCGTGCCTTTGAACTTCGGGATCTGTCAGTTTGCACATCATTATGTACCAAATGGCTCGGAGCTGTTAAGGTTAGAAGAGGTTGAAAGAAATATAAAGTTAGGTTTTGAATATAAGTAAGATATAACAACACAATCATAAGCTTCTGCTTCACGTACCTGATCATCTGCATTTTCATAGCGCAGAGAAGCAAAGGAAAAGAAGACGATTGCTCTGCCTGCTTTATCCCTGTTGGGAAGAAGCTGCACAGCCCCCGATGAGAGTGCATTCCTCGTTCCTTCATTGAGATCTTCATACGTTATTTCCTTGCCCAAGTTATCATACCCAAAGAGTTCTAGCTTGTACTTGAAGTGATCAACAATCTTGATCGCAGTCTTCTTGGGGTCAAATTTGCATGCTCGTAAGAACATGAGAATGAAGTTCTCGCTGTTCACGTATTCTGGGTTGAGGAAGACAGCCTTGTTGTGTGCCGCTTTGAGGCGTATGCTGGCAATCTCGTTGCGTGTGTCTGCAATTGTTTGGGCGAGCGTCTCGTGGCATTCCTTTCCAGGTCTCGAGACGCCGTGTAGGTCTTCGTAAACAACCTCCCGCTCCTGGAAGGTCAGCTTGTTCATTTCGTTTGCTACTAGTACTGTCATCTCGTCCACCGGGACAACGGTTGGGTTGTCCTGGGTTCCTCGGGTACTGCGGAAACAAGAAGGCTCCGGTGTGGTTCCCATATTCTGATTGTTCGGACTACTGCCATCGCAGCAACCCGTGTTGTACTGAACGTCCAATATGGAGTTGTTTGATGTCATGGTTATCTACTGCTGTATTGCTTGTCGTTTGCTTTCTGTTGTTGGTGTTGTTGATGTTGTTGCTCTGTGTATTGTATGTAATCTTACTATCGCTATGGAGGAGGCTGCTGTTGTGCCCGGTTTCTTACGATTGACTCCGAAGTGCCGGCTGTAGAATCCACGGTAACTTTGGCTACAGCGATCTCTACGAAGAAAAGCAGCTGGATGGGAGCGGGCATCGATACGAATTGTCCGAGTGACTTTTTTTCGACACATCACTTAACGATTTTGGTCCGACCTAGGCCCGAAAAAAAGCTTCCTTCTTATCTACGTTCATGTACGTACGTGGGATCACTACAATGTCTGTCCGTTTGCCAACGATTCAATGTCCAAGATTGAACGTTCGGGTGTATCAATTCCATCTCCGCCACATGTTTGTACTTAAGAACACTGTAGACACAAATAACAGTAACCGGTACGTAAGAGGAATAAGAGCCAACTTCAATTCTAAATAACGAACTTTGCATCTCAGAAACCATTTTACGATTCTCACTCCTTAAGTAAAGACGGAAATTTCAAATTTTCAACGCTAATAGTGATCATGTCGAAATCGTTCCATCAATGAGTTGGAAGCGTTCGTGATGGGGGCTTTCTCTGCTTTTTATTCGCGACAATTTTTGCTAAGACTGCGTTTGTGATGCCAGCTGCCACGATCATAATATGGGAACACATGACAAAGGAGTGGAGGACTTATTTACTTTTCCATCAAGTTGAACATTCTTTGTAGTGCGAAGAAATCCTGTTGTCACCGGTACGCTGGTACCAGTAGCATATTACGATGTTGTATAAAAAAATGATCCTCCCTCCTCTACGGTAACCACGTGCAACACGCAATCTACTTCTAAAGCACAAAAGGTAGTAGTTCCAAGGACCTATTTACTTCTTCCCATGTTGAACTCCCTCCTCTGCAAATGCACTCCGAAAATCATGATAATTTCCTCAATGGAGGTTTGTTGAACCATCTTGTGTTCCCATAAGAGTGTTCCCACACCAGTGGTATTTAATGTTCCTTCCACCACACACCACACACCATTTACTTCAACCATACTGTAATAGTCAGTACCGGGGACCTATTTACTTTTCCTGATCATGTTGAACAGCAATGGTCCTGTCATCGTTGCAGCAATTCAAAATAGAGAAAGTTCAATGACGACTCCAATAGAGCTAGGTTAGTATTTAGCTCTATTGAACCCAAGTTGAAACGAATCATACAGTATATTTCTTCCTCTAGACCATCATGCTGTACTACGGCGATACTATCATCATTGCCATGATTTCTCCAGCATGGCCACCAGACACCAGCCAGGACCCTTTTTTTTCCGGTAGCCTACCAATCCAGATTGGACTACAGTACTGTAGCTTGTTGTCCCCAAGAAGCAGGAAAAAGAATCGTCTCTTTCCACTCCACTGTTTCTCCTCAAGACCTCTTTTTTTCTTTCCGGTCACGGTGTAGTGAAGGAAGGGCCCGCCGCAACCAACAATATGATGGCCAATTAATAATGAAAGGATGGACGGACCATCAAGAAGAGGACATGACTATAGTGACCGGTACAGTATGTTTCTGTTGTCTGGCCGACGTGCGACGTGCACCATATCTTTTTTGGCTTGACACGCACGCGTTCGGAACCAAAATATAAAATAATTCTTCGGTTGTTGATCGAGATTGTTGATGCCTCCTCGATCTTGATAGGATCGTTGCTCTTTGTTTGTTATTTTTGAAATAATCTTGACACTATTCTTCCTCGACTAATAATCAAGAGAGTGGATAAGGTTATATATTAACATCTGCAGTATTCATTCAATTCATCATGTTTTCCAGGAAAAAGAAGGACAAGCAGGAGGAAGAGCCTGCCGATCATGATGCTGATCATTCTGATCATGAACCTGCGGACGAAGCTCCAAGCTCCAGCAGAAATCAGAAACCAGCGGAAACCATTGGGCACAAGGTATCCAAGTTCATGTACAAATTGAGAGGAGAGGGTGGTGCTCTAGGAAAATTCCGAAAAAAGAAGGAAACTGAAATCAAGGCAGTCGAAAAGAAAATTGAAAAGCGAAAGTGGGACTTTGGAGAGGAATACTTGGCACTGGCGGATAAAGGTGCCTCCAAAAGTGAAATGGAAGAGTGCTTGAAAAAGGCCCAGGGTGAGATTAAGGATATGAAAGGCGAAGTTGAAAAGAAGAAGGAGGAGATTGTAGAGAAAGAGAAACAAGTAGAAGCTGAAAAAGCTGAAAAGGAGGCTGCAAAGGAAGCGGCAAAAGCTGAAAAGGAAGCTGCTGCGAAGGCAGCGGCAGGGGATGCAGCTAATGGCGATGGTGGAAACGACGATTCTCAGGATGCTGGTGGTGGTATTAGGGGTACGAAGAAAAAGAAGAAAAAAAAGAAGGGAGGAGACGACGATGAGAGTGGCGACGAGATTGAGGAATCTGAAAAGCCAGCATCCGCCGGAAACGTTGTTTTAGATGACGATGAACCAGAGTCTCCCACCAAGAAGAAAAAGAAGAAAAAGAAAAAGAAGACTCCTTCTGTTGCAGGCGGTGGAGCTGTGGCTGGTGCAGCAGCAGCTGCTTCGATTCCCGGTCCCAGCGGCAACCAAAAGAGAATCTCTCGTCCAAGCTACATACCACCCGGGTGGACGAACAAATTTGCCGAACAGACCCGAACCGACGAACCAGACCCCGCTCGATGGAAATGCGAGGAACTTCGCTTCAATGGAAAGACCAAGTACAAAGACATCGGTATCCAACAGAATTGGGAAGGTTCCATTAAAGACTCGACAAAGAAGTTCAAGAAGGCTCCTGAAAAGTATGTTTCCATGATGTATCAAGCTGATATGGTCGAGTGGGACGAGGACGAACAAGAATGTACCGTCGTGTATCGTGAGGGTACTGTCAATTGGAAACCCGACGGCGTTTCCGATAAAGGATGGATGGCGGTTCTTGTCCAGAGTTATGAACGATGCAAACCATTCCCCAAGGACGAATTTCCCATGGGTCATCGGGACAAGTACACCGATGACATGACCTTCAAAGGCAAAAAGATTCATTCCAAGTCGCTCAAGCCAGTGATGCCTGGACGTGGTATGGGAGTCGGTGATGCACCAAATCTGAAGGTGATTGGAGATATCGATCCATCTGACATTTTCCAAGGATCTGTAGGAGATTGTTGGTTGCTGTCTGGAATTTCAGCTCTTGCTGAATTCGATGGTGCTATCAAGAAGCTCTTCCGAAAGACCACGAATGTTTTGAATATGCCAACAGATCAGCCAAATCTCTATACCATCACTCTTTGGGACCTCAAGACTTTCAAGGAGGTAGATATCGTTATTGATGAAAGACTGTGTGCCCATCCGGATGGACAACAACAACTATTGGGGTCTAAGCCTTCAGAAGATGGTGAGATGTGGGCACCTTACCTTGAAAAGGCTATCGCATGTCACGCTGGTGGCTGGGACAAGATTGTCGGTGGTCAATGTACACATGGTAAGTCAATTTTCTATGATTTTCGCTTAGCCAAGAGAATTCTTAGTCTGACAAATTGTTTTTGCAATATCACATGTAGCCTGGTCCCTGTTGACTGGATGCAAGGAGCAGTACACGATTACCAAGAGCGGAGGTACCGACAAATACATTTGCTGTGGTAGATTCAATGAAATCGAGAACAGATGGGCCGTACACGGTAACTCGCCACACGACGGCGAACCGGGTGTGTGGCCGATGGCTTGGCCCGAAGAAGGCGGTGGAGGTGATGGAGAAATTGGAAAAGACGAACTTTTCTTGAAGTTGGTTGCATTTGACAAAGCAAATTTCATCGTTGGAGCTGGTACCGCGGGTGATTCGGACGCCGATAGCACTGGTGGAATGGTGGATAACCATGCCTACACGGTTATTGCGAGCATTGCCGATGTCTGTGGAACTGGAATTGATCTTTTGAAGGTTAGAAACCCATGGGGTAAAGGAGAAATTGAAGATGGCGAATTCGATGACGATGGCCCGGGATGGGACAAGTACCCACAGATCAAGGAAAAGTTGAATCCTGTCGTTGCCGATGACGGTATCTTCTGGGTGACAAAGGACGAGTTCTTTGACTTTTTCGAAACCATTTATGTTTCTGCTTCGGACATGTCCAAATTCTTGGAAGATACCGATCACCAGTACGATTAGAGAGGTGTTGCCTGTAATCTATGTAATAAATTTCCGTATACAGTGTCTGAAAGAAGTAGCTAGGCTAAGCGAGACATGACGTAGATGAGAGAAATTCGAATGGAATGGAAATGTTTCTAGTCGATTGCTTAGCTATTGCTCCCTGCTACTGGTTGCACTTCAATGCCTGTAAGTGTTACCTTCAAGAGTGGAGGTCCGCTATTTTGTCCGGGAATAACTCCTTTGAATCCTTTCTTCGTCGGCAAAGAGGCCAACCGCGCCAAGTTGGCCATACTCTCCTGGTCAATAAGCTGACCAATGACTCGCTGCTGTGAAGGATCGCGATCTTTGCCTTCAAATGGCGCGGCGGTGATTTGGAAACTGGATTCATAAGCTTCGTCATCAGATTCCAAAGTAGTTCCACCATAGCCAACTCCCTTTCCTGGTATCGTCACGAGGCCGGCAGCATTGCGAGGACGCAGAGCCTCTTCGTCTAGAATTGCCTTTGGTCTTGGCTGTGCCAAAAAGTCATCAATTTTGTTTTTTCCCTTTGACCGAGCATATGCAGCCGCTTGAGATGGAATTCCGATATCCAATCGCTTTTGAGGTTCAATTTGTGCGACGATCCCGCCACGGCTCAACGCCACAGGTGCTGATTCAACTCCCATTCCATTCTCAAATATCAAGTCACTTGTCGTGCGTAAGCCAGATGTAATAAAGTCCAGGAATTGCTTCACACTAGCTTGGCTATTCTCTCCGTAGAGACCCAGCTTGATGGTTAACTTTTCGGCATCACTCCGAGTTCCAATCGAAAATTCAAGAGTCACAATATCCGTAATCTTCAGTCCCATGGTATCTGGGACAGCTGCTCCACTAGGAACACTATCCATGAGCTGCCCATTGGCACCGCATCTCGGGTCCGTAGCCTCGCACCGATCCTTGCCTCCCCAAGTCCATCCAATGGCACCATCCAGCTCCCCAATTTCCAGACAGTTACCAGCCGCCCGGCAGTCCTCCTCGGCTCCCCCAATGGCTCGGACCGCATTTGCCGGTGATGGACTAGTCAAAAGAACGGCGAGACCACCAGCAATCCACGCTCTTCGAGAATTTGAGGCGATCGATGGCGACGATGATGCAAAGTCATTGTCTTCTTGGTACTGTGCCTTTTTCTTTTGTTGTGTGTATAGTTGGCCATGAAGGGATTGCTTTTGCTGTTGGTTAGCAAAAGCATCACAAGAGCCGATACATGCTGCTGCAGCAATGGCAAGAGTTCTGCACAAGTGGACCATGCTTTGAATGTAAATGGTATTGGAAGCTTGAATCCAAATTGTGGTTGATGACGTTGTTGGTTCAAGATACGGGCAGTATTCATTCTCCGTTTCTCCAGATTCGAACCATCTTAGTCAAATTATGCCCAACTTAAACTTTTTCACGCACTACCCGTATCATAACTTCATTCGATTCTGATTCATTCATGCATAAAAGCAATATCGAGGTGCACCCAGACTCCTCTTATTGCAGCAACGCACCAGTACTAAGAAGTGAATTATTATTCAACTTAATTTTGTAGTCCATGGTGGTTTCTTCTCGCGATAGTTGGTTGGCAAAAGAAAGGAAGTAATCTCTAGTTCTCCATTTCGCCAATGACTTTCAACGGATGAGGATAGTGCGCACCTCTTCCGATTTTTTCCAACCAAATAGAAGCAACCAACACGGAAGGTAACTCTTGTATCATCTTTGTGTCGGTTTAGCAACTTGGCAAACGAGAGAAACGGACAGGATCGTAACTATGAATCAAGAAAACGCTGAAGAATTGAATGAAATTGGATCATTATCCTCAGGGAGTTTGGAGCCTCCACCAAATGGAGGTGAAGATCAGGACGACGAAAATCCCAACAATGATGCTGCTGATGGAAACGACAGTGATGATGTTGCAGAAAATCCCACAGAACAAAATGATACTGAAGGGCAAAACGACAATACAGAAGGACAAAATCCAAAGATTCGAGAAGACCGAACACATGCAACTCCTGTTGAATTGAAAACTAATATTGATGCCCGCTTAACACAAGCTCAGGAATCCTACACTCGAGATGCCAGTCGACAACGGAGTCAAGATGTTGGTGTTTTAAGCACGAAATTTCGCCAGTTTCGTGTCCATTTGAATGAGCTGAAGCCAATCATTAAGTCATATCAACAGGCCAACAACGAGCTATATGCCGCCCGAACTAAGGTAAGTTGGAGATGAATGAAATTGGTACTGGATAATTTTTTGTTGTGCTGGATTCTTGACTCATATGTTTTCTTGTTCACCATCGACACCATTTCACATACGCAACAAATCAATCATAGTTGTACTCGAATCTCGCAGAAATTGCGGTGGACTCTCCATTCTATGACATGGTGGGCAAGCAGCTAGACACGGACGCACTTTCGGAAGCTACCACAATCGAAGCAGCTGCACAAGTTGCAGAAGAAAGTCAAACCGACTCTTTGGTTGGTGTCAACCAGATAGCCAAAGCCCCCCTACCAGTCCTCGAAGCCGAGTACCAAGAACATCTAGTCGACTACATTCTGGAATGGCAAGCTGTCATTGCCAACAAAGTGGACAAGCTAATGAAAGACAACGAGGCTTTACGTGTCAAGCAACATCATTATCGGGTCAAGGTGGACAACTTGCGCGAGGAAAAGTCAGCATCGGATTCCAAGGGAAAAGAATTTCCCAACCGCAAGCGAGAAAAGTTGGTCCGCAACGAAGAAAAGTACCGTCAGGCCATGGCCGAACATGAAGAAAAGGCTTCCGAACTGTGTTACATGTTGGAAGTTGTCGTGAATCTGGCCTGGCAAGATATGATGCCACTGGTACAACATACCATAATCTGGGAAAGAAAGCGATACGACTATGACGACCGTTCCTATGCAGACATGTTCCGACAAGTATTGGAATCCCTCAGTCGAGAGATCACAAGGGTGGAAGAAGAAGAATCGACCGATGATCTGGAAGCTGCTCTCTTGATCCAAAGGGACAAGCATGAAATCCTAAAAGAAAAGCTGAACCGACTGCAAATGGCGCTCTCAGGCGATTGGGAAACCAAGAATGAACTCTTTCGGAAGTTTGATTTGGTGTAGTAGTTCAGAAATCATCATGATGTTAGATATGTGTGCAATATATATAAATTTTACTTCTAAGGACATGTGGCTTTTAACAGAAGCATAGTTGTCAATCATTCATCTGGCTTTACCTGGGTAGTCATATGATGTCAAAACCGAAATGCACCAATTGGACTGGATCCGTCACCCCTTCTTGTAATACATACCGTACGACTTATTAAAATAGTTCTTATTGATACGTTCTGCTAAAGACATTACACAACGATGAAGTACAAAGCACTAAGGTCGTGTATTGGTAATCGATTGAATTGATGATAATGATGGCGTTGCTGCCTATTATTGCTTTTGTTGTTTATCTATTTTGGTGTTGTACTGGTACATACATAGTTTATGAATCATAGTATACAGGAGAAATTGCTGCCTTCATGATGTTGATGGCTGGGAGAGAAAAACCGAATCGTTTCACGCTATAGACTGGCCGCCATGCCCGCCGCGACAGCATCGCGAATAGCCGACATGTAAGCTTCCTTCTTGGCATCCGATGCCGCCTTGCTGTATAGTTCGGCAAGGAAATCTCTGGGATCTCCACAGTGCATGGGTTGACGCGTGTTGGCAAAGGCTTGCATGCCAAAGACAACCTTGTAGGCCTTTTGTCTTTGGCGTTGTCGTCGTTGCATGGTAGTGTCTTTGAGATCGACAATCCCGCGTTTGGAAAAGTCTTCGTCGTCCTGAATCTCCATTCCATTGTTCATGTGATCGACAATCTCCCAGGCATGAGCGTGTATCCTCGCGATTTCCTCTCGCGAAAAGTAGCAGTCTCTCTTCGACTGAGCGGAAATGGCATTGACGTGTGGAATTTCAAAAATTTCCACGTGGTCGGAAAAGGCGACCTTTCGCTTTTCTTGGTATTGGTGATCCGAAGATCCAAAGCTCATGGTTTCCAAGACCATCTTGGAGCAGATGTCGCTTCCCCAAGATACCAGGTCATGTTCGTAAACGGGTTGTGTCAACAATTCTTTTGAGTGTGGAGGCATTGTATGTTATGTTATGTTATAGAAAGAATTGGAAAAAAGATTGGTGTCAACCTTGCTTGGAGGGTGATTTTGTGCGTTGCAACGGATGATTGCGCAGAGAAGAAATTATGTGAGCGTACGATCGATTGAATGCCGAGATACCTAGGGAGGATTGATGCCGACACTAGAGAGCGAGACCGGCGATAGGATCTTGGAAAATATATTACTCTTCAGCAATGAATACTTTTATATAGTTTGGCGAGCTTTTCTGGGATACCTCATTACTTATATACAATGACCACGCACGATAGCTTTGTCCTAAGTGTGGTCGCAGAGACAAATTTGAATGCGGCCAAAAAATGAGGGAAACTTGACTACGCCGCAATGAGAAAAATCGAAAATCTTCTTGGCCGCAACCCCTTCTTATCTAGAGATTTGATTTGCTGCTGGTACATGCGAGGTACAAGTACCAGTACGTACCGGTATCTGGTACAGTATGCAAGATTGGATTTATTCTTTCGCAAGCCGATCGTGCTTCATACGGTACCAGGTACCGGTAGATAGAAACCAAAGAAGAATAAATCTGAATACCGGTAGGTAGAAAGCAAAGAAGAATAGAGTAACGGAAATCTCCAATGGAAGGAGATTCATTATTGATGTTCTCCCATCAGGCAGCAATCGTGCGTGTGAAGCCTTGCCTACCGGTATTGCAGTCAATCAATCGACGAACCCATTTCGGATTCTTCATGTTCGTGTCCAAGCAGTCGTGCATGTCCTGTAAATTCCTGAATCATGCAAATCGTAATTCTGCTGAGGTCTCTCTGTTGCTGTAGACCACAAGAGCACTGTGCTGGTAGCTACTCGACCTACTAATGGGAGGGTATATACGCACTACTACGATTCAATTGGTGAGTGAAGAAATTCCTTCCGACACTACGAGTAGACTTCATTATCTTTACAAACCTTTTTTCATTTTTGCTAGCGTGCGTGCCCTTGATGAATCATAAAATAAGTACCTAATACTCGTACCAGGGTACAGTACGGTACCACGTACCCATTACTATGATAGGTACGTACGGTACGTTACAAGTCTGGGTTGCAATAAAAAGCAATTGGTGGAGGTTGTTGGGGGACGAAGAAAGGGGACCGACAAGATGCTATTGTAGTACGTCCATCCGCCCACCGCATGCCGGTACCAGTACATACTGTACTCTTAATTAAAATTTCATTAAAGAAATCATATTTTGAAATTCCTGGAAGTTCTTCAAGGTTCTATCGAGAAGACTGCCATCACGAGGAGAAGAATTGATTCAATCAAGGCCGCCAGTAAATCGATGTCAACGCGAACCCTGTTGTCAAAGTGCTTAGGAGAAATTGAGGAAAGTTATGTAGAATTGGGAAGACTGACGATTGCCATGTCATTGGAACATATTGCAATGTGCATTGCCACTATTGTAGTGGCCGCATGCCTGCCTCCTGCCATCACAAGGAGAAGAATTCAATGAATCAAGTCCGCAGAAAAGCGATGTCAATCCGAACCCCCATGTCAAAGTGCCAGATATCAGATTATCATTGGAAAACCACATAAAAAAGATATTCACTCATTTTTATTCGTACATCACAGCACAAAAGAAGCGTGAACATGTCAAATGCAACTGAAGCAGCAGAAGGCATGTCGTTTGCTTATTCCTGTCAAGACCCTGCCAGTGTTGATGCTTGTGCGGCCACTTGCGTCGGATTGCAAGCCTGTCAAGCTTGTGAATGCTCCGTCATTCCCCTGGACGTCCAAGGACCTTGGGACGTGGAAGCCCTGGATGTGATTTTTGGTCTCTTGCCCATTTTGTTGCTCATCATTGTCACGGTCAAACCTAATCCTTGGCCGACTTCCTTTAGTTTGCCCTTTGCGGCTCTCTGCATGTTTCTTGTGAGGACCATGTACTTGGCCGGAGATCCCTTATTGGCTGCCGCCTGCGTCTTGTTGGGCTTGTTGGAAGCCTTGACTCCATTGAGTATCATTGCGGGCGCCATGATGCTGTTCGAAACCATGGAATCCACCTATTGCTTGCCCTACATGATGCGAGAAATGAAAGTTTTGACCAATGGACATCCGATTGCCGAATGCATGTTGATTTTTTCCTTTGCCACCATGGTGGAGGGTGCCTCTGGCTTTGGAACTCCCGTGGCCTTGGGAGCGCCCATGCTCGTGTCGACGGGGAATCCGAAATTGGAATCCGTTGTCTTGCTATTGGTGTTCAATACCTTTGCTACCGTGTGGGGTGCCGTCGGCACCCCCATTTGGTTTGGCTTTGGTGGATTGAAAGATTTGACCGAAGATGACTACTTGTCCATTTCCAGCAAGGCTGCTGTGGCCATGGGTACGGGTTGTTTGGTCTTGCTCCCATGGGTATTGACCATTCTCTTGCCCTGGAAGTTGATCCGCAAGAATTTGCTGTTTATTTATCTTGCAATCATTGGTACCATGGGACCATTGCTGGGAGTCTCCTTTGTGAGCTATGAATTTCCATCGCTCATCGGAGGATTGGTGGGCATGGGCATTACTGGCGCTTTGATTAGCTTCAAGGTTGGTCTCAAAGACTTGACACAAGACGATTTAGAACTACTGGAATACCATTCCGATCACAGAAAGGGCAAGGACGATGTCGAATTGGCTAATGAAAGTGAAGAAATTGAAGAACATGCTCCAACAACCAATCAAAACGATGAAGATGTTGCTGCTGTGGGCGATACTACCTCGAACAAACCTGACTCGGTCGCCATTGCCGGGGCCGAGGGGATTGTTGGAACCAAGAATCGCGAGGAAGCCGCCGTGGTATCCCAACAACAAGCTTTGGACGACGCCTTGGGACCCCGCAAGGGATGGGGCCAAGGCTTTCTGCGTGAGGTTTTTGCCCGGACCTTTCCTGTGTGGGGTGTGGTGGTCCTGCTGATTTTGACGCGCATCAAGGAGATTGGGCTCAAAGAAATCTTGACGGATCAAGAACCCAATTTTGAAATTCATTTTGGGACATTTGGAACCTTCCGATTATCGGCAAGCATTGTCTTTCAGCTCAAGAACATTTTGACCTATCCGAACTTGTCCTGGAAGTACGAGTTTATCTATCTTCCTTTCTTTTTGTTCAGTTTCATTTCCTTCTTGACCTTTGGATTGTTCCGGAAGAAGCTCAGTCAGACTCCCAAACAAGTGGTCCTCGTGGTTGCGGGACGACTAAAGAATCCTGCCATGGCCTTATTTGGAGCCTTGGTCTTGGTGCAACTTTTGATTCGTGGAGGAACTTCTTCTCCAGCATTCGTGGTGGGAACCATCTTGGCCGATTGGTTCCAAGAAGGATTCGTGGTGATTACACCCCTACTCGGAGCGCTTGGTTCCTTCTTTTCGGGAAGTACCACCGTGTCCAACTTGACATTTGGTGACATTCAAGCCATTGCCGCCGAATCGATTGGGGTGAGCACCACCGCCATGCTTGCGCTCCAAGCCGTCGGAGGTTCGGCCGGAAATGGAATTTGTCTCAACAATATTATTGCCGCGTGTACCGTGGTCAACTTGCAAGTGGGTGAAGGACAGATTCTGGCCCGAACTGCACGATATGTGTTTGCCTTGACTACCTGGGCCACTATCATCATGTTGGCATTCTACTTTCGATTCTGAAAAAGCTAAGAGGATGATGCAAAACAGCAGACCACACATTTCCGGGCAAAGTGGCTACTTCTGTTCATGATGAAACCTGAAGAGACGAATGTGGTGGGAAGCATGTAACATCACTGGAACTTGCCGGAAAGTTGTGACGGGAACAAATTTAGGTTAGGTAAAATGAGGATGCAAATCACTGATACGACAACGTTTTATTTACGTTGTCAAAGTGCCCACTCTCATTATTTAGATTTTAGAATAACAATAAAACCCATATCGATTGGTTGATTCATTCTACAATTGTTGTTCTAGTTTAGTCACAGCAGCCTGATAAAAATTGGTACCAGTGCATGGTATCAATAGCATCGGCTCGTTTGTCACCCGACAGTATTCTCCTGACGGATTGAATGAGAGACAGGCATTGTCGCTATCATCTGCACTATATTGGGACAGCAGACACCACAGCAAGTGCATGTGACGCGGTCCTCGGTAGGTTTGCAATCACTGGACACAAAGTCCCATTCGTAAGTTACAACATCGTCCGAGGAGCAGAGAGAGTCTTCAGTCAACAGAATTGCAGTGTTTTCGATTTGTATTTCTTTCAATCTTGAAAAGAGTGGACGAAGCTCTGGATTAGATAAATCGCCTTCAAAGTTCACGTTGCTGTTCAAATAGAGATACTCGAGATACCTACAAGAGCATTGAAATCAAGTCCCAAATGTCTCAGCGTCTCAAGTTCTTTATTTCGGAGGGAACGCCACCAGTCAGTTCATTTCCGGAGAGGTATAGATGTTGCAGCACATTCTGGCTGCTGAAATTTGTTGGCACTGTCCCAGTCAAAGCATTCTCAATAAGATAGAGGCGGCAATGATGATGGGATGCTGCCCCTATCGCGCAAGACAAGAATGTGTCTTTCGGAAGATGAAAAGTTCAAATTTTCAAGCAACTTGTATGTGTCCGCGCGAAACCACAAACGGACACCTCACTTTAACTGGAACAGTTAACGGACATTTATGTTTCCTTGGTTTGTCTGTGCATGGTACCGGTATCTTGGGCTACTGTCTACTGTACCCGGTCAAATCAATTGATTGGCGGACAAGCGGACTGACTCCGACATTTGTCATCGTTCACCGTCCACATACACTCATTCATTCAAGGATATAAAGAAACGCGTGGCAAAACCATCCTTACCACACTAGACTTCCGTAGCCCTTCACAACTTTTTGTATTGTTTGCTACAGTATTTGATTTACTTTACCAGAGTTACAAAGGTACGCGTACCAGGAGGTTGCAATGAAAGAAGTTTGAAAGTTGGTAAAGGTTTTGGGGACGAAGAAAGGGGACTCACTGACTGACTCAGTCCCTCACTCCCGACCCGTTCGTGCATCCGCCCACCGCCGAAGAATTGAATTCCGCAGAAAAATTCAATTTCAATGCGAACCCCTTTCTCAAAAAGTGCCGCATAGAACGACTGTAACACGAGAAGATATTCTCGGAAACATTCATTCCTGGCTGGTATTTACAAATTATTGAACACAAACTTTAAAACATAACACAAAACACAAAACACAAGCAATCATGAGTATGTCAAATGCAACTGAAGCAGCAGAAGGCATGTCGTTTGCTTATTCCTGTCAAGACCCTGCCAGTGTTGATGCTTGTGCGGCCACTTGCGTCGGATTGCAAGCCTGTCAAGCTTGTGAATGCTCCGTCATTCCCCTGGACGTCCAAGGACCTTGGGACGTGGAAGCCCTGGATGTGATTTTTGGTCTCTTGCCCATTTTGTTGCTCATCATTGTCACGGTCAAACCTAATCCTTGGCCGACTTCCTTTAGTTTGCCCTTTGCGGCTCTCTGCATGTTTCTTGTGAGGACCATGTACTTGGCCGGAGATCCCTTATTGGCTGCCGCCTGCGTCTTGTTGGGCTTGTTGGAAGCCTTGACTCCATTGAGTATCATTGCGGGCGCCATGATGCTGTTCGAAACCATGGAATCCACCTATTGCTTGCCCTACATGATGCGAGAAATGAAAGTTTTGACCAATGGACATCCGATTGCCGAATGCATGTTGATTTTTTCCTTTGCCACCATGGTGGAGGGTGCCTCTGGCTTTGGAACTCCCGTGGCCTTGGGAGCGCCCATGCTCGTGTCGACGGGGAATCCGAAATTGGAATCCGTTGTCTTGCTATTGGTGTTCAATACCTTTGCTACCGTGTGGGGTGCCGTCGGCACCCCCATTTGGTTTGGCTTTGGTGGATTGAAAGATTTGACCGAAGATGATTTCATGTCCATTTCCAGCCAGGCTGCCGTCGCCATTGGTACGGGCTGTTTGGTCTTGCTTCCCTGGGTATTGACCATTCTCTTGCCCTGGAAGTTGATTCGCAAGAATTTGCTGTTTATTTATCTTGCAATCATTGGAACCATGGGACCATTGTTGGGAATCTCCTTTGCCAGTTATGAATTTCCATCGCTCATCGGAGGATTGGTGGGCATTGGCATTACTGGCGCTTTGATTAGCTTCAAGGTTGGTCTCAAAGATTTGACGCAAGACGATTTGGAACTATTAAAATACCATTCAGATCACAGAAAGGGCAATCCGATGGACATTGGTTCCGTCTGCGAAGGATCCGTGGTGGACTCTCATTCACGATCTGCCAAGAATACCAAAACCTTGTTAAGGGGAGAATCTTCTGTCAGTGATGTGACTGGCCCGCGATTGAACAATGAGGATGACGACAGTGCCGAATTCAATATGGACAAGGACGATGTCGAATTGGCCAATGGAAAGAAAGAACAGTCTCCACCAACAATTCCTGAACATGATGAAGTTGTTGCTCCAGTTGGCGATACTAGTACTACTACTAACAGCAACCGTGATCTGGAACGAAAGGTCGTCATTTCCGCGGCGGAGGGGATTCTTGGCAATAGCGGGAGCGCGGGCGTCCTTTCCCAACAACAAGCTTTGGACGACGCCTTGGGACCCCGCAAGGGATGGGGCCAAGGCTTTCTGCGTGAGGTTTTTGCCCGGACCTTTCCCGTGTGGGGTGTGGTGGTCCTGCTGATTTTGACGCGCATCAAGGAGATTGGGCTCAAAGAAATCTTGACGGATCAAGAACCCAATTTTGAAATTCATTTTGGGACATTTGGAACCTTCCGATTATCGGCAAGCATTGTCTTTCAGCTCAAGAACATTTTGACCTATCCGAACTTGTCCTGGAAGTACGAGTTTATCTATCTTCCTTTCTTTTTGTTCAGTTTCATTTCCTTCTTGACCTTTGGATTGTTCCGGAAGAAGCTCAGTCAGACTCCCAAACAAGTGGTCCTCGTGGTTGCGGGACGACTAAAGAATCCTGCCATGGCCTTATTTGGAGCCTTGGTCTTGGTGCAACTTTTGATTCGTGGAGGAACTTCTTCTCCAGCATTCGTGGTGGGAACCATCTTGGCCGATTGGTTCCAAGAAGGATTCGTTGTGATCTCACCTCTACTTGGAGCGCTTGGTTCCTTCTTTTCGGGAAGTACCACCGTGTCCAACTTGACATTTGGTGACATTCAAGCCATTGCCGCCGAATCGATTGGGGTGAGCACCACCGCCATGCTTGCGCTCCAAGCTGTTGGAGCATCGGCCGGAAATGGAATTTGTCTCAATAACATCATTGCCGCGTGTACCGTGGTCAACTTGCAAGTGGGCGAAGGACAGATTCTGGCCCGAACTGCACGATATGTGTTTGCCTTGACTACCTGGGCCACTATCATCATGTTGGCATTCTACTTTCGATTCTAAAAAAGATGAGAGGATGATGATGACAATGGTTGCAACACGCGCACGTGTTTACGGGCGAAGTGGCTACTTCTGTTCATGATGAAAGCTGAAGAGACGAATGTGGTGGGAAGCATGTAACATCACTGGAACTTGCCGGAAAGTTGTGACGGGAACACAATCAGGTAAAATGAGGATGCAAATCGCTGATTCGACAATGTTCGATTCATCCTTTGTCCAAGTTCAAAGTGCCCACTATCATTATTTAGATTATATATAAAAACAAAACCCATATTCGATTGGTTGATTCATTCTACAATTATCATTCTAGTTTAGTCACAGTACAGTCTCATCAAAATTGTTACCAATGTACCATAGGATCCACTCCATTATTACCAGACAGTATTCTCCAAGATGCTTTTTCCTGACGGATTGAATGAGAGACAGACATTGTTGCTATCAGCTGCGCTATCGGGACAACAGACATCACAGCAAGTGCATGTGACGCGGTCCTCGGTAGGTTTGCAATCACTGGACACAAAGTCCCATTCGTAGGTTACGGCATCCGAGGAGCAGAGAGAGTCTTCAGTCAACAGAATTGCAGTGTTTTGGATTTGTAGTTCTTTCAATCTTGAAAAGAGTGGACGAAGCTCTGGATTAGATAAATCGCCTTCAAACTTCACATTGCTGTTCAAATAGAGATACTCGAGAGTCTCTAGAGTCGCAAGTTCGGTTGGCAAGATACCTACAAGAGCATTGAAATCAAGTCCCAAATGTCTCAATCGTCTCAAGTTCTGTATTTCGGAGGGAACGCCACCAGTCAGTTCATTTCCGGAGAGGTATAGATGCTGCAGCACATTCTGGCTGCTGAAATCTGTTGGCACTGTCCCAGTCAAAGCATTCTCAATAAGATAGAGGTATCTCAATTTTGGAAGAGTGGGCAATGATGATGGAATGCTGCCCCTGATTCTGGAATCGGCCAAAGCAACGAGTTCAACTTCGGATTCGCTTGAAAATTCGGGAATTGTTCCTCCAATGTTCGTCCCAAGTAGCGCCAAATGTTTCAGGCTGGTTTGTTGAGTCAGACTTTCTGGAATCTGTCCAGTGAGTTTGTAGTTGTGCGATAAATTCAGAATTTGCAGCGCCCCGTTTCGAGATTCCGGAATAGCTCCGGTCAACTGATTGTGTGAAAGAACCAAGGAGTAAAGATGCTTCATCGTGAAAAGCGATGCAGGAATAGAACCAGTGATTCGGTTCGAAGAAAGAGAAAGGGTCTCCATCATGCTGAGCCGAGACAGTTCCTTGGGAAGCACACCAGACATGTCATTCTCGTCTAAAAAGGAGAAGGAAGAAGATTAGAATTTTGCACCGAAAACCATCAGCAACATTGCAAATTGGACACATACCAAGATAGATTTCAGTGACCCGACCTTCCGCATCACAGAATACTCCAAAACCACCAAGATTCCAATCGCAAACAGAGACATCAGGTGTCAGAAAACCGCCCTTTTCCTTCCAATTGCTTTCTCCTTCTGAAGAAGTTCCCATATACAAGGCAATCAAAGCAAAGCGCTCTTCCAATTCCAAATCATTCAAACTGTCGGTAAATTCAGCTGAATCATTCTGAACCATCCATTCGAGTGAAGCTTGAATATGAGCGAGGACCATGTCAAACTCCTCGATTTCCAACTTGTCCGCCAGGGATACAAGCTTTGGTGCAGTTGGAGACAAAGTACCTCCATCCTGTCCAACTGTAGAGGATGGCAATTCTCCTTTCTCAAGATCAAGAATACCCATGCCAAACAAGACAGCAGCAGCCGCTCCAACAGTCATTGCGAAAACAATTGCCAGGCATCTGATTGCATTTTTGTTGTAGGCTCTTGTCTGCTTGGGTGGTGATTCTAGTTGGAATTCGTCGTCCGCAGCTGACTCCTTCAGACTTTCACTTTCCTCCGAGGATGACAAACTGACAAAACTTTTCTTGTCGTCCTCGTCCTCCTTATTGCCTCCCATATTGGGTGACTTGAGTGGGGATATTGAAATAATCTTTGACGTCTCGCTGCTTGGTGATGTTGAAATAAACTTGGATGTCTCGTTCCTTGTCTGTTCTCGCTTCGCTCTTGTCTTTTTTACTATATCTTTGATCTGTCCAGCCATATCGAGTTCAAGGAATGTTGGTGATTGATCTTGCTGATCTCCCACGTGTGAATAAAGTGAGAAAGAATCGTCGAGAGTTATTCTCGGCATCTTCGATGGCGTGGATGCTTGGGACTCAACGTCGAATGTGCCAGTCAAAAACACATCGTTGTCTGCAGACTTTGATTCTGAATTCACTGAGGCCGGAGCCGTCCATGCGTAAGACGAGAACGATTCATCATCCTTTCCTGCTTCCTTGTCGTGAGAGTACACGCTATTACCAGTCGCGTTGAGAAGTGAAACTGTATCGTCACTGGAATCAAGCACGCCATTCTGTTTTGCTTTTGATTTGGATTGGTCGTTTCGAGTTGGTGCAGGCATATTCTCTTGGCCTGATCTTGCACGGAAAACACCGTGAGTAGAACTCGTTGACTTTTGGAGGTTGCTTGGTGGTGGTCTTGTAGGAGTTGCCATGGGTCCATTTGTAAATATAGAGTTTTCCAATGGCGATTTCAAAGGTGATCCAAAGGCGTTTGTTGGTCTCGAAGGAGTAGGAGTTGTTGCCGCACCCTCGTTTGTAATGGACGACGTTTCGAGAGCAGAAATCGGAGAGAGTTCTATCGTGTTTGGTTCTCCCAAACGAGTTGACACAGCCCTATCGGCAAATGAGTTTGGCGAATATCCAAAGGTTTGCCCCCCGGTTGGTGGTATCGGTGGAGGTGACACAGAACCGTTTGTGACCAATGGGATTTCAAAAGGTGAACGAGTGGCCGGTTGGATTGTGGTTGGTGATCGTTTTGGTGTTCGTACTGCCCCATTGGTGCTCACTGAGTTGCCACGAAGAGAATTTTCGTCGAAGTCCGGTGGACTGACCTTATATGTACGCCCAAAAGATGGTTTTATCGAATCATCATTCAATGCAGTCATTAGTGGCATCAGTGAATTGAATTCCAAGCCTCTCGCAGGGCTTCTGGAGCCCAGCGAAACACCTGTCTCGTCCAAGGGACACATTTCCGGGTCTTCATCGAGCGTCGAGAGGACGAGTCCTGGGGGCTTTGGCAAGGACGATGTCGAGTAGGAATCCACCGACCTGCCAGGTGAACCTTTGGAATTCGAAAAATGTGACAATGAATCAACCGATACGAGTCCAAGTCCACCCTCCACAGGTGCGGACTGTGCTCTTTTGAATTCCGGCTCGGGTACTTCATCTGTCAATCGATTCAATACCTTGCTCCAAGGCTTACTCCCTGCGATTGACCGCCTCTCCCCCCCAATCGAAAGTGGTTTCAATAGTGAAAAGGGCGTCTCCTTGCTAGACGCCCGGCTTGAGGCTTGAGACCGATCATCCTCCTTTTTCTCATCCAGCACAGCAGCAGTGCCAGCGTCGCCCGATTGAGCAGTCAGCTCATTCTTCCCCAATGTCTTCCTCGTATCAACAGATTCCAATCCGATTGACACCATTGTATCGAATGATGACTTTGGCTGTATGCCTTGATGTGAGTTAGTGCCATTCGTCTCCAAAGTCTGCTCTTGCTTGCGAAAGAGGTCGGAAAATGTAGTCTCTGTGGTGTGCACTGGAAGGACCACGGACGCTGCCTCGGCGTAATCTTGCTTCGGCTGCAGATTTTCTGTCGTCTTTCCATTGTCGCTCACATTCGTCTTTGGTGCATCTTTCAAAGGGGTTCTCTTTTGCGACTTGCGTAGGAGGTCTGCAAAGGTTGCTTCAGTCGTGTCCGAAGGAAGGGCCGCTGACGCTGCACTGCTGTAGGGGCGAACTGCGGACTTTTGGCTACCATTGCTGCTCTTTTGAGAACCTTCCAAGCTCCTTTGAGAATCTTGTTGTTTGGACTCTGCGAAATATGACATCATCACCCCCATAGTCTCTGAAGTCTCCCCAGTGGGTCGTTCAGTACTGCTTTTCGTCTCTGCGGTACTATTCGACTTTGTTGATGATGCATTGGATTGTAGCGATGGTGGCGCTGCGATAGAAGAAGTCTTGGACGACGCACTTTTCTGTGATCCTTGCAGACTCTTTTCCGATTCTTGTTTGGACTTGGACTCTGCGAAATATGACATCATTACCCCCATGGTCGGTTCCGTACTACCAGTCTTTGCGGCTGCTGCGGAGGTATTGGATCGAAGTGGTGTTGGTGATTCCTTGACTTTCAATCGGTCGGGTGTTGGCGGCGGAGGTACTGGAATTGGTACAGGTGCCATGGCGCCATAGGGGTTCGAGACATCGAGAACCGAGGTGGACGAGTATTGAGTACTAACAGGAACGGCCCAAGGATCGCTAATGGCCGGCACTGGTTGCGGAGCAGCTGCTTGTAATACCGTTTCAGGTTTGTCCTTTTCCATCATGCCCTTGGACTGGAGCAATATGCGATCCCATGGATCCAATACTTGTTCCATTCCTTCCGATGATTTTTGTGTCGTATTGTTGGGATCATCATTTGACTTTTCGTCAGCAGACGACTGATTGGAGGATTCCATTTGCGTCGATAGGTTTGGCTTGACTGGTGATCCATTGAGCCCTTCGTGCAGGGCCGGAGCATTGCTTTGCAAGAAAAACGAGACTTCCGAAACCTCTTGCCCAATGCTGCTGCAGTTGGAAACATCCATGCGTTTTGCAAGATCTGGATTGTTCTTGGCTTCTGCCTTTTCGAGGGGCGACTGAAATGTAGACGAGAGTTCGGTAATGGCCGCCACTTGCTGCTTATTGGGAGTTTTGACAGATTGTCCAATCATGAAATCCTCTTCTGCCGCCGCTGCACTGGTATCATCGCTATTGACCGCTGTGAGACTGGTGGCTGCCGAACCTGGCATGTCACTGGTGAAAGCATTATTTCCGTGGTCGTTGTCGTCATTGGATTGCGACCATGCAATGAGACGTTGGATCGCAACGGCATCCGAAGTTCTTCCCGGCGGATCGGACCTACGACTTGGAGGGGTATCGACTACTTGTTCGTCTGGATCATTGGGTACAGGTGCTTCTTGACTTTCAGGTGGTTCATCGGCTTCAACTTGTTCTTGCAATGACTCTTCTAGTTGTTCTAGTTGTTCCAGCTGTTGATGCTGCTCCTGCTTCTGATCTTGAAATCGTTGTTCTTTTTGTTTCTTGATTTCCGCCAATCGTTCTTGAGTACTTTTGACTTGTTGCGGAAGCTCGTCAATTTCTTTTTGCAGCTGTTCCAAACTGGGATTAGTGGTAGTCTCCTCATGGAGTGGCTTGGTCGTTGTTGCCTTGCGTTCATCTGACACCGACGATTCTCCTACTTGCGATTTTTCGTTGCTTTGGTCGTTGTTGGAAGACGAATAGCTGATTTCCTCGGGCGGCGGAAGACGAAAGGATTCGGGAGGATCCGCACTTGCCACCCTTTGAATCTTGATTCTGCTAAACGATGCTGTTGATTTTGATTCCCCCATTGCAGCATCTTGTCGTCTCCGTATTCGACTTCGATCGATTGATGTACTTGCCCCTGGTATGTTGGTAGTGGTGGCGTTGGTTCTATTATTCCCCGATGTTGTTGCATTAGTTGTCCCTGATGTGGTAGACGATGATGATGATGATGATGATGCTAATATTCCCAATTCTCGTCGCAGCCGCAGTTCGTCCAATCTCGTCACGGGACGTTTCCGAATCACTTTTGCTGTGGTAGGTATATGAACATAGATGCCACCCTTTGGTGGACATTGCAAGTCTCCCATCTTTTCTGAAATATTCCCTTTCCCGACACTGCTTCCGGTCAACCGAACCCCTATTCGATTGGCTTCTACGACAGCGACAACTCCCTCGAGTGTTTGTGTTTCTTGTGTATCTTGTGCTGATTGTGACCCAGCATCTGCCGAAAGGCGAAGAAGGACGGGATCCAGCACTTGGAAATCCGTCATTCTTCTCTTATTATTGTCGTAATTAATTAATCAATTGGTTCTGTTATAAAGATGTGCAAGTTTGTTGTGTGTGATAGATTGATTGGCAAAGAAAGGTGCGTCTTTTTTACTGTTCTTGCCTCGTTCCACTGCGATACTACTGTATCTGTTGGGCGTTTCGTTAGCAGTATCCGTTGTAGGTTGCCCCTAGCTAGTCACCTACTGTATTTGGTATTGGAATGTTTGGGTTTTGAATTCGCCCAAACAAGGGTGCATCAATTAGACGGAAGGTCCGGTGCTCGTGTACAGACGGTTCGTCCAAGGGACTCAAATAGCGCGCTAGTGTAACGGTTTTCTGCAGCAGTTGGAAAGGCAATGCTATTTCTGCTACCAGGAATACACGTTGATTCTTTGGTGGACACGTGTGATTGGCCACTTGGATTGGCCGGCATTTCGCGGGCCTACACGAATGGAAAATTTTGAGCCCGCAGTCTCATCCACCATCAAAACAGAAATTTGATACGAGCGACTTTTGCCTCGACTGCTTTTAAAGAGGAGGTGGGAGGTTCTATCAGAATGTTTTTTCAATGGACGACCTATTGAAGCATACTTGTACCATCAATGGGCGATCTTTTTATAGTTGTAACGTGATGAAACTCTGGTCCTTTGACTCATGCATATTGGGTGAGGGGTCCCACTTTATTATGGCAAGGCTCGTATTGGTCGAATGAGTGTGATCCTGCAAACGCAGAAACAAATCAGCAATGCTGACTGCTTCACAAAGAGAGAAAAAAGTCAAGAATGGAATGGAATGGAACAAACAGGACCAACAGACACGAAATTCATTTCATAAAGTTGAATTGCGCAACATTGCATAGCAACCTCGTATGCGGCTTATAAAAATGGTTCTTCTGCTAACTTTGCTTTCACTCTGGCCCCAGAAAATGCTTTGAGGCTCATGAAGAATCATCCAAAACCAGAACTGCCGAAATCCTTAAAGGAAGACAGCATTTTATCGTCAATTTTACCTTCATTTTTCAACCTTGATGCTAGCTTGTGTTGTTTGCCAGCTGAGAGGGGACAGTGGCTTGTTGGTTTGACAAGTGACGGCTGTTAGGAGAGATCGTTGGAAAGTTTGGAAAATATGATAGCGGATAAGACGGCGTTTCTCCCCCAATCCAATGCGGTACATTTTGTACGTGGCCATTTCGAACACAAAACATTCCTTAGTGCAAATATTCCTTTCCATAGTCCAAGCAAGTCTTGTTGGTCCAAACTGTGATCGGCCACAGACCGACCCGCTTCACTGTAGTATTATTTTTAGGCGGGATAGATCGTGACTGTCCACGATAGCTGAGGACAATAATTGAGCGTGCGATAATGCGCATTATTGATTGACTCAAGATAGGTTGAGTCAATCAATAATGGCCATTATTGATTGCTCAACACGTCATTTACTTAATGGCTAAAACGGATGGATCATCATGGTTGCTATCTCAAGATTCAAATTTGGGGAAAACCCCACAAGCATTTTTCAAATTTCGCATCTTATTGTTTTCCAACATGTTCAATGTCGTATCTATGCATGTAAAAATTGTAGTCGTTGCAGCAGACCTCCGCCTCACAAAGGAACACTAACTCTTGATCGTAACAATCATGAGTCTAATGAGGTTATCGCTTGGCAAAATCAGGCCGTCAGTGTTCTAAGGTAGATACAAAAAGGAGAACACAAAAAAGCATAGTCCTACGATAAAAAATCGAAGAGTGTTGAGCAATAGTGTTGTAATACTGTTCATAGGTATCTTCGTTGCTCTCGTGAAATTTATTTAGCTCCAAATGATGAAGTCTATGATAGACTTCATGTGCCATGTGGTTTTCCGTCCAAAGAAAATGGTTTTGCGAAAGTGACGCTTCAACCATGAGGAATACTAGAACGGCATAACAGAAAGACATGTTGGCCCCTCTAACGTCTTGGACAAAGCATCTATTCTTGAGATAGCCATAGGCAGTATCTGTTCTCATGCGATGAATACTTACGAAGCAATAACCAACATTTTCAGAAAACAAGATCGTGCCCGATCAACAAGCGACAAGGCTGTCTTGGTCTCAAATTTGGCAAAGAAACGGTGAGAACTTGATGAATCTCGTCAACGCTTGGAAGAACGTAATAGCCAAACATAAGTGTGAAGGAAAAATGGATACTCACTTCACCTTTTTCAAAGCACACGACAAAGACAAGGTCATCGTCGAGGATGAGGTGAAGAAAAATTGGAGTGCAACATGCTCAAGATTATTGGCATTTCCAACAATTAGGTAAATATATATATATGACGCGAATTGTTTGTACACGTCGCACAAAGATCTCTTTTATTTATAGGCCCTAGACTTTTTCACGGTGAAACTATTTCTTGATCTCGCGGTGACACATTTTTGTCTGGGGTTTCGTGATTTCATACAAATTGCACAAGACAACCAGCATCCTTTGCCTTCCAAGTCTATCAACGGCCAGGACGAATCGGCAATCAACCATCTAGTCACAAGCACACAAGGGAATGTACGATGTATCGATTATGACTGATTTGGTCATTAGGATTGTGATCGTTTTCCAATCCCTGGAGGGACAGCTGAAGAATGGGTGAGAAGAAGTTTGGATCAAAGTGGAGGAGCAAGAACTCGACGTAATGTTTTCAAGCCAGAGCAGCGTATACAGCACGGTGCAGAAGGAGATCGATGGAAGGAATGTTCTGGGCAATGTCTGTCGTGAGTGGGACAAGGCCTATATCAACGATTGTGGAAACATCAACGACTATGGAAAGCATCGTCTTCAAGTCAAGGGTTTCATCCCAATAATGCAAATCGCGGAAGGAGATCCAATTGAACGGCAAAAATGGTTACATGCCCTATTAGCACATATTTTTATCTATTTTAAAATCTACATTTTCAGCCAATTTCATTATCGATATGGTAGCCGAATCTGCACTCTTGTGCCATTGTCGTTTGTTTCCGTGAAAGTCTTTGTTTCAAAAGGACGAGTGCATTTTTGCAATCCCCTTTTTATTTATTTGGAATGCCCCTCCTTGTCTATCTGCTCTTTACATGCGTAAGTACTGGTCCCTACCAGGATGTGCCGTTATTGATGGCTCAACATGACGGATAGATGTAGACAGAATGCGCACAAGCTGCGCCGTAGGCGCCGTGGAAATGTACGGACCCCCAGACATTCCTGGATATACATAAGGGTTAATAACAAGATATTCTTGACGGCTTGACGGTTCAGGCTGGTCCAGACCTTTTGCACAAAAATCGGATAGCGGATAGGGAAGCGTCAAAAAGTAAGGTCTGTCAAGTCAAAACAAGTCAGCGATACCAGTATGTACCGGTAGAACAACTCTTGGGTAGAGCACCGACAACAGACCGACCAAACACCACACACACACCTCACCGACCGGAAGAGACTGGTCCAGACCAATTCCGCAAAAGTTTGATTGCGGATTGGGAAGCGTCAATATCATTACAATTGATCGGTCTGTCCCCTACAGACCATATCTGCACGGCAACAGGCTGGTCCAGACCTCATTCACCGGTCCAGACCATTTCAACAAAAGTCTGATAGCGGATTAGGTAGCGTTAAAAACTAAGGTCTGTCGTTGTTATTGCATTGTCTCCAACAAGCAGTGGTACACGTACCAGGTACCAGGTACTATCGACAACAGACCATATCACATCGTTTTGCTTTTATTTGAGGAAAAGGGCAGACTTTACGGCAACAGCCAGACTTTCGACCAACACTCTGATTGCGGATTGGGCAGCGTCTCGCCGGTCGCAAGGAAGCTATACTGTAGATGCCAATACTGTAGTTGCCGGGAGAGGATATAGCGTATCTCTCTCAAGAACACATTTGTACAAACAGTATTCATCATGTCGTTTGTGCGGCGGAGAAGCCGAGCTGACATTACCAATAGACGATTGCTGCAAGAGGAGGAGGAAGAAGATCAAGCGCAACTCTTTTACTACAGTGGCATCGAACGAGTTCCCAACGATGTTACTGTGGTCCACTTGCACGAATCCATGAAATCCCTTCCCTACCAAGCCTTTTATTTGAAAAAGGTCCTCCGCAAGGTCCAATTTCACGATACTTCCTTGCGAACCATTTGCGAACGAGCCTTTGCTTCGTGCTCGGCACTGGAAGAAGCCATACTCCCGAATTCCATTGAGGAAATTGAACGTGGGGCCTTTTCTCATTGCACCTCCTTGCACACGGTGTATCTATCGCCTAGAGTTCAATTGACAGTGATTGGTCGTGGTGCCTTTTCCTATTGCAAATCATTGGTGTCCTTTCAAGTTCCGCCCAGCGTTCATACCATTGAACGGGCTGCCTTTACACGGTGTGATAAACTGCAGCACGTGGAGTTCGTATCCAGTGTCAGTGCCAGTGCTGAAGTACCATTGGACGAATCATCACCTTCCTCTTGTGACAAAAAAGAACCATTATTATTATTCGAGTCCCAACTGCAGTGCATAGACTCGATTGCCTTTGGTGGATGCACAGGTCTGCAAACCCTGCGACTCCCCCATGGATTGATACAAATTCAGAGTCAAGCCTTTAGTGGATGTACCTGGTTGGATGCAATTGAAATCCCTGCTACTGTCGAAGAGCTGTCGAGCTTGGTCTTTGTGGGATGTCATAATCTAAAGCACGTTGCTTTGCCACCAGACATGGATTTGAGCGAAATGCCAGACGACGTCTTTCAAGAGTGCCACTTATTGAATCCCTTAGTCTTGTCGGTAATGAAAGGAGCGGAACAAGCCAATGATGATAGTGATCGTCCTTCGCAAGTTCTGCAAAGCCGGTTTGAAGGACTGCCTATTCACGAACTTTGCTATTACTCCCAAGACCAAGAAGTACTGGAGCAATTGTTAATGCTAGATCATGATGATGGTAATCTGTCCGAAGCAACTCAAGATTGCTTTGGTATGACGCCATTTCACATTCTTGCGTTATCAGGAAACCGCCAAAAGGCTGTTCTGGATCTTTTGAAATTATTATTGAAGGATCCTCGATTTCAAACTGTGGTGACCAAAAAGGATATGTGGGGCTATTTTCCACTAGTCTACGCATGTCAAGTGGACTCGCCACTCCCAGTCATCAAGTTATTGTTGGAAGTGCACCAAAAAGCGGCAATTGCATCGACAACAAAAATGGAAGACATGGTAGTAGACGACTCTGCCGCCGAGTCACCATCCACCAATCAAGCTACCAACAAACCCATCACTGTTCCTTGGAACCATTTGGTCAGACACTGTGCATCCAATTCCGTCAAGAATCTTCGTTTCATTGTACGATCTTGTCTGAAGGACCGTATTCAACGACTGGGGTTGCAGCAATGGAAGACTGATGTCACGTTTGGCATTTTTCAGATTCCTGTCGATGCCCATCCGGAAGAGGCACGAACCGAACATATTCGAGCTTTGTGTCGTCAACTAGCAGGATTTGAAGAAAGGGAAGCCTTGGCAATACTGGAATTAGCAGTATGGAAAGGGTCCTTGGATCGGGCAGCAAGTGCACAAGAGAATGAGTCGGCGGCGGAAAAAATAAACGATCAAAATGAAAGTGAAGAAACAGCAAACGACAAGGGGGAGAAAACGGATGCCCAAGGCTCTAGCGACAATGCATTTGAACTGGAAGAAGATTCCCCGGAAGAAATCCTCCGAAAGACGAGACATAGCTGCCGTGTGACATGTAATTCGGATGTCATTCTGATGCATGTTCGTCAACATTTCAAGATTCCACCGACTGACTTCTTTTGACTTGAGGATATGGAACTATTATCTTTTGCCTACAGGTCGTACTATCTACTGTATCAACTGTAATATATATGTTCATTAGACTACCAATGGTTTACCAAAGCTAGTACAAGTCTTTTCTGCAACCAATGATGCCAAGAGCTTCCGAGTACCAACAGGACCACTCCATGGTCTTCTGGCATGCATCATGAGATAGTTGCTGATCAGAGCCACATCCCCTTTTTGCCAACAAATTTCCAAAGCATGTTCTTCGCAAATTGCTTTCGCTTCCATCAAGACATCGAGCGGAATCATTCCTCCATTGCCAAAACAAACGCAGGCATCGATTCCCTCCTGCGTGGGAACATCTTTCAGTGGGTCGTATCCACCACCCGACTGACCAACCTTGGAGAATTCCAAAGCATTGGCAGTAGTGGCAATCAACTGATTGAAAAAACATTTCTTGGAAGTTCCCGGGGCCACTTTGACGGCATCCAAGACCGGAGTCGTACATTTTAGAAAATCAGGACCTACGGGCGTCCCTGGGCTCGGACCCACTCCCCATTCCCAGTCCCAACCACCAGCCTTGAGTTTGACTTCGCATTCTTCCTTCGTGGACACAAGGAAAAAGGACTTCCAGGATCGGCCAGCCCCCTTGCTAGCATCTTGTTCAGGACTGGCATAGATCGTGTATCGAACACCATATTCTTCGCAATTCTGCATGAACTTTGGATGGAGTTTCTTGAGTTCTTCGTATACCAAATCGCTGGAAACGATCCCAGTGGCACCACCATCACCAGGTTGGGCTGGCAATAGACAGCAAAAGAAAACATGACTGGGCCACAAGGGAGTTTGTGCTTGTTCATGGTGAAAGACAAGACCACCTGATTTGCCTTCATTGGTCGTGCAAATGCGATTGCTTAGTTTGTGTCTCACAGCAAACGACATGCTCTTTTCATAGCTCAAATCTTGCCAATCTTCCCAAGAACAGACAAACGAATCAAAATCCTTAGCTTCTTGCAGGGGGAATCCACGAAACAAGATTGCACCATGATCCTTCATCGCCTGATCAAGCTCATGGCGATGATTCTTGATAAATTGACTGGCTTCTGATGGATCCGTCATGGGATTGGGCGGCGACAGAACGAACATTCGTGGATCGGAGTTCTCGTCGTGCTGAACGATGAAGGATTCAAAATCAAAGGTTGTCATAGTGCGTTGGATGTCTAGTAGCTGTGCCCAATGTTTGATGCCTGCAGTCTATGGGAGTCAGTCGTCGAAGCAAATTCGAAAATGTTTTCTTTTTATTGACATCATAACTTATTGACGTGAAGTCTATGGTGTCAACCCATGTACTTATGTAGGCGCAAACGAAAAATTGTCTCCTTCGCACGAAGAATGAACCATGTCAGCTCGGCATGCACTCTAAAGCGGCCGTTTTCCCATCAGGTTGTCAATGGATCGGCGAAGACCAAACTCCAAGATTTGTAATCGTTGCATTGTGTTTGGTGCTTCCAGAATCCTGCCACGTATTTCCATCGAGGCCCCCAATGAAGGCAAGGGATTGATGAGGGCAGCTGACCAAAAGCAAAAGGCAGTTGGATTTTCCTTGGGACAGGGTCCTAATTCTCTCTTCACGCTCTGTAGTAGCTTTTCCGGGTCTACCGTCAGCCCTGGATGGCCTCGTTGGACCCGGGTGGCGACCGTAACATCAACATTTTCGAAGGTTTTTGGGTCTGAAGCCAAATCGTACCATTTGTCTACCAAAGGAATCAGTTCTTGCATCTTTTCCACTTCTTCTACTGCCGTTTCTTCCTCTACAGCTTCTAGATTGCACTCTATGGTGACAGAATTCCATTCATTGCATCGCAACTTAGTCTTTTCGTCTGATGATGATGATTCTTTGGATGGTGTTCTTGTGGTGGGTTCAATACCAATCTTTAGTTCATCGGGTGTGTCCACAAAACGTTCGTCACCCCATCCCAGTACCGATTCCTCTCCATTTGGATCATAACCACGCCTCCAGCGACCAATCCGTGCCTTGAGAGCCGATCTTGGTCCCATGATGCGGCATCGATTGTGTCCTAATATTGAAAAGTCGACCGCTGTGGGAATCCAAGGGGCATCAGTCTCCGAGGTTTCCACGTCGTTCTCTGGCACGAAAAGAGCTCCATCATCCATTACTTCCAGCTTTGCCAACACTCCATGGCGGCGAATCTTTCGCGTCCGAGTATCCAATGACACCATGACGAACCAACCACCTAGGCCGACTTGTTGGAGAAATTGACAAAAGGTGGGATCGTCCGTCCGACCCTCCAGGCGTTGTTTGGGCAATAGAGAATCAAACGATATCACTGGCAATTCAGTAGCTTGTACTTTGTTGGAGTCCACCAAGTCTTGAATACCTTGGGATTGGCGCAGCCCTTCGATTCGTTTGGCCAAGCGAGTTTCTTGGGTAGCCTCCTTTTCTTGGAGCTGTCGTATCCGCTCCGAAAGGGATTGCGACAAGGCTTCTTTGCCATCGTCATCCGAACTATCTGATAGATTGTATGGGTCGAAAAAATCATCTTGGCTACTTTTCAGTGACAATGAAGAGGAGTGCCTAATTGGGAAACCCGGATCACCGCAATCCTCAACAATACCTTTCGCTCTGCTGGGTCGTAGCAATAGCGCTGTCATTCCAGCTCCTACAGAATTCAGCATGCATCTTTCTATTGGTGTTACAAATGCTTCGATCTGATAAAAAAGAGTCGAACATAGAATTGCGAAAGTGAGAAATGTTGTCTTCATTGTAAACCCTCTCCTCGTCAATCGGGGGGTGCTGGTCATGACAAACGTTTTGCGCTTCCATATATGTACCGGTATATCAAGATCTGTGAGATAAAAAGAGAAAACCGCCGATAACCGAAATTCTAAGGCAAACGTTGATCGAATGGGTCAAACCCAAACAGAACTCACATGATATGACACATGAATGTTCACATCATAAAACGGAAACGTATTTTATATATTCTATGCTTTAGTTTACAAAACGGTTTTGAACACTCCTTCGACATGAACATATTATTACTATACTCTAGATGCAGAACGAATGAATCAATCTCGCATTATCACCATCAGAATCAATCATCTTGACGAAGAAAGAGGAATACATACAGAGACGCATATATTCTAGAAACAAAAGCAATCATGAAGGGCAACAGTAACGAACAGTCCTCAGTCGAGAATCTCATGGCAAAGTACTGTGACTATTCTGATCAAGGAAACAATCAAAAGGCAAAGGAGATTTTGGAAAGAGTGTTGGAACTACAAACGAAAGAATTCGATTCAGATGATTTGTCTGTGGCCGAGACTCTACATCGTATTGGTGATGTGCTAGAGAGGGAAGAAAAGTTCGATGAAGCCTTGGAGAAATACAACAGAACCCTTGCGATACGGTTGAAGAGACTGGGAGAGAAGCATGCGGATACAGCAGATACATACGAAACCATAGGCAATTTATTTCTGTTACATGGTAATAACAGCGAAAAAGCCGAAGCGATGTTGCGAAAAGCTCTGGATATTAATCTTGAAATTCAGCCCGAAAATATTTCTGAGTTGACTGATCTGTACCAAATGCTAGCTCTATCATTGCAGAAGCAGCTCAAGTTCTCAGAAGCGACCAAGGTACAAAAACAAATACTTTCGAAACTACTACAAATTCATGGGGAAGACCACCCCAGTGTTGTGCTTGCATATCAAGGTATTTACGGGCTGTTGCTACACCAAGACCGGTTCGATGATGCTCTTCAGATGATTGATGAAGGCATCAAAATTTGCTCGCGTCTCCAAGGACCAAGCGGTTTTGACAACAATACCGGTATATTGATGGCATTGCTCTACAACAAAGCAAAATGCCTGGAAGCACTAGGGAACTTTGAAGGTGAAACGGAGGTGTCCACCAAATTGGTAATGCTATCAAAGGAAAGGCTAGGTGAAATGCACCCCTTAACAGCAGATGCCTATGAACATCTTGCAGAAACATATGTGCGACAAGACTTGACGAGCGCTGCCATGAATCAATATGCGAGCGCCATCCGTATTCGGCGAAGGGTGCTTGGCGATGTCCATCCTAGCACAAGGAAGCTTGTGGCTACCCATGAACTGTTGAAACGTGATAAAATTGCGAATGAAGCCACATTGCAGGGACTGAAAATGAAAGCGCAAGGCGATTTTAAAGAAGCGATGCAACTCTTCCACAAGGCGATGAGTACGTACGCCCAGATCTATATTGTTCCTGATCTCAGTTCGGCAGTAGTCTCCCACTGTGTTTCGGCGGTCAACATTCATGTGGCGGCAGTCCACGAGAATATTTCGGATGTCTTTGTTGAACTGGGTTTGCTTGAACATGGCGTTGCGGCGAGTGCAGAAGCCCTCAAGATTCGACGAAGGACATTTGGGGACGATGATGCTAGCACGAAGCGACACATGGAAACGCATAGATCTTTGCTGAAACTTTTTTTGGAGCATCGAAGCTAACAGCGGCTTCCTTTCCAATGTCATGTATTTATATTTATAGTACTCAGTCAATCGACGAGCATGTTGGAGCACTTCACCACTGATCACCACCATTCAATGCCTTCATTTTGAACTTTTAAAAAAAAGTAATCTTATTCTTTATTTTATCTTTTATTATAAAAAATACTGCATTTTTATTCTGTAGTCCTCCTAGGTCTTTCTGTTGCATTTTATTTTAAATATATATGATGCAAAACCTACGTCCTGCTGTACTGTACTGTGCAATCGTCGACAACGTATTATATTTTATGCTTCCAATTCCTTTAGCTTTTCCAAGACTTCAGTAGAATGTCGGGCAATCTTACTTTCGACATCGGTAAAGATCCAGCGAAGTCTTCCATTGGGATCAATGATATATGTTTGTCTGTTGGAAAAGGTTCCAAATCCTGGTACACTCAGGGCACTTCCATACGCTTTCGAAACTTTTCCTCCCTTGTCCGACAGCATGTAAAAATCCAACTTTTCTTCACTGCAGAATTGGGCATTCTTTTCGACGGGATCCACCGAGACTCCGACAATTTGAGCATTCAAGGCCCGGAATTGCTCCAAATCTCTTTGGAATCCACGGGCCTCCAGGGTACAACCCGAAGTAAAAGCACCGGGGTAAAAGTAAAGGACCGTCCATTTGTCAGAGGCGACCAGAGAATCCAAGGTGGTGACACCGTTCCCTCGGCTATTGGGGAGTTCGAAGGTGGGAGCCTTTCTACCTTCGGCGGGAAGATCGGCAAAGGCAGAATTGGGCGCAATAACAGTATTGACCAATCCCGTGGAAACCACAGCGGCGGCAGTGTTGACAAATCCTCGACGATTCATGTTGTTGTTGCTGGGTTTGGAGGAACTCAATCCATTGACGACACTGGCAGCCGAAAGTAGAAGGACGAGATTCTGGAGGTTCATTTTGATTGCTTGGGGTATGATTATTGTTGTGTGCTTTTGTTTTTGTGCAAAGACTTGCGGTGTCAGAAGTCGGACAAGTGACAAGTGAATCTTGCTATTTGCGCTGTCGGTGTTATTATTGTTTGGTGAACCACCAGGTGTACCTGACATCGTCAGTCATCTTTCAGCATCTGTTTTGTCTGACGTCACATGAACACTTCACTTCACAGAAATTCTTGACCGGATTTTGACCAATACCAGCAATCGGCTGAAGGAAGAACCAAACTACCCCGGACTACTTTCACCGCCGTTTTAAATGGAGACATATAATTAACCATACATGAATATGTGCGAAACATGAAAATATGTGACTGCCAAGAAAGCCAGGCATCGATTTGTAACCGGACAAGCTGCGTTCCTATCTGATATATTCAACAGTTCGCCAACGGAAATCACTACCAGTCTGGATCTCCGTTGGGAATCACAACGGAGCCTTTGACCGATGGTGAGGAAGCATGCACGGCTTTGAACCGCGTTGTTCACAAAAAAAGTAAATCCCAGATCAAAACAATATCGTGAACTCATAAAATCCATCAAGTGATTCTATCAATCAATTGCGTTCTTGTTTTATACATATATATCTTGAATGTAACAGCATGACGCAATTGCAAGTACAAGGGACAAGAGAACTGTCTTCCCAGCAATGCTGCTGCTGGGAGCAAGTGTGGAACACCATGTTCTTCAAGGAAGAAGAAACCATGATTGCCAAGGAGGAAGAAAAGTTGCAAAAGGTGAAGGATGCCTACTTTCAACAATTGCCACAGCAAGACCCTGTGACGATGGAGTTGATGCAACTGCAATTTCAAACCAACAAGGCTTGTCAAGAGATTCAATCCAAATACCATTCGCAATTCAACCGAAAGGATCACCGACAACGCTATGAAAAATATGGCAGCCGTGCCAATTTCATTCGCGATCGGAACTCTGAATTGTTGGTTCGTCAATAAGACGAATGGATTGCTACTACATATACACTTGCGTGTAAACTCTTTACATTCATACACTTCGTGGGGATTTGCTACATAAACATTGGGGAACGAAAAAAAAGGATGAAACGAAAGAGGCGGTTCGTGCGCCTTTTACTCTTTGATACTCTGCAAAAATCATATGAGAGGTTCCAAGGCCTGCCCACTAGGCCATCATTCGACTTGCGCAAACACAACTATAGAAAACTGGCTCCCCAAAGCTCCTGCAAACACCTTCACCACTATGACTGTATCCCAGTGGTGCATTGGTAATTGCTCTATTGCTGAGGGACGCCAACAATTTGCGTCACTGTAAACTAGAAACTATATTCATTGGATTCTATCATTCAAGTCCTATATATAGTTCTACATGTCTTTGGAATTCTACCAGGCAACTGCCGGCTAGAAGTTTTGGTGAAGGTACTATAGGTTCTGCTAAATGCATGTTCGGGTCTCTAGTTACTGGCTGACCTACATCGTAACAGTGCCGCTGCAACAACAAGAAGCAAAACGATATGCATTCCAACGCAACTAGCATTCAAAAACTTACGGTTGTAGTCTCAATAGAATTGTAGTGCAACTCCCACTTCTATGGGGATACTTTGTTTGATGCTGGTGGACGAAGAAACTTCCTGGGACTGCTATTCAAAAAATTGACTTTGACTTACTTTGGGGGGAGTTCACAAAAGGGGTTCATCATCAGTCATTTTAAGAAGAAATAATATGCCACCATCACCAACCAACGAGAGTCTCATCGTTGAGGTTTGAACTGTGTGTGTTATCGGCAGTATAGCTGAGGGAAGCCGAACCCGTGGTGCTTGGACACAATACCAACAACATCAACAACAACAACAACAAAATATGACCACCATCAATGGCCAGCAATTGTTTACTGGTGGGACCTTTGATTTTACGGTGCAAGAACAGAGTGTCAATTTTGACTTTTTGGACAGTGATCACGAAGATTATGACAAACTCAAAGCAACGGAATCGGCAAGGTTTACCGACAGTGGTGAAATCATTGAACCGTCAGAGGTGGGGGAGGTGGAACACTTTGTGCTGGACAATATTCAACCAGTGCAATTGCAGCCTGTGCAAACAAGTCAATTTATGGAGGATTCCGAAGAAGAAGTAGAAGAAGAAGAAGAAGAATTTGTGATAAATGAGTCGGGTGTCGGGTCCTTTGTGGTTCGTGGTTCTGGTACTGAAACTTTGGAGGAAGTTGTTGAATATGAAGAAGTTGAAGTATCTGCCAGCAGTAACTCAGACGGCAACAGCAGTTCAAGCAGCGGATCAAGCAGCAGCAGCAGCAGTTCAGGCAGCAGCAGCTCAAGTAGTGACAGCAGCTCAAGTAGCAGCAGCAGCAGCTCAGACATTGGTGGAGTTTCTCCAGTGATTTCCCCCAATAGTTCGGCCAGTGGTGGAGTTTCACCAGTGATTTCGCCTGTATCGAGCTCGCAAAAGAGCAGTCGTCAAGCCCCAGACAACCTTCTTAAGGCCCAAGAATACTTGCCAAATGTGGACGACCTTGTTGCATATACCGACGATTTGCCACTGGAGGAAGCTCCCAGTATCAATGTTAAGCCCTCCAATATTAGTGCCGATCGCAGTGCAATACCGGACTCCTTGCCTCCGTCCTATCCGTCCTATCAATATACACCACCACCACCGCCACCACCCCGACAAAAACAAAAACAAAAACATCAACAACCGCTACCATCACAACCTCCACAACAACCCATGGAACGAGAAACCATGAGGGAAAAGTCTCGCAAACTCGATACAGAAATTGCCCAGCAGTACATGGATTTGGGCAAATCGCTCAAATACAGAGGAGACTTCGAAGGAGCTGCATTAGAACTGAACAAAGCATTAGCGCTGCGGCGGAAATGCTTGGGCAAATCCCATCCTGATACAGCCTCATCCTACTATCAATTGGGATTGCTATACTACCAATCTGGGCAGTACGATCTGGCATTTGGAGATTTGAAACGGGCCTTGACATTGGGGAGAAATGTCTGGGGGCGTCACCACGAGGATACCGCTTGTACCTATTTTCAGCTTGGTCTCGTGCTGAATGCAAAGCAGGACTTCAAGACTGGATTGCGAGAACTGACCAAGGCGTACAATATTTTCCGAAAAACCATGGGCCCGGATCATCCAGCCACAGCTCGAACGCTGCAATACATGGGAGACTCGCATGCGGGGATGAGCGACACCGTCGGGGCTGTAGTCCACTATAGCAAAGCGTTGGCGATCCAGATGGTTACCATGGGAAAGCATCACCCACAGACTGTTGAAACGTTTCAAAAGATGACGATGGAAATGAACAAACCTGGGCGGAGCAGGTGAACAATGAATGCCGACTGTCACCAGAATTATTCAACCTGCAAGATTATGTCGGTAGGCGCGCCGAGAAAACGGATTCCTTTCACCATTCATGGATGTGCCATGTGTGCACTCAAGGCATGAGAACGATTTCGTGCAGTGAGTCAGTTGCTTGACACCAGTCAAATCACAATACAGACTTTTTAAAACTTTCCATTACTACGCTACACCCGAAGCACGATATAACATTTTGTTCATGATGGCTCCCAATGCTCGATCTCTGTAGTCAATCACTGGTACTATTTTTAAGCTCTTTCGAAGAATATTGGCAACAGCCCTGCAGGCGTGTTCGGGCCACTTTCAAAACAATAGCTAGACCTACGGACGAGGCTAATACTACCGGTATCCACCAAGCAAGTAGTACTAGTCCGAGGGAATGTGGAAGCACAGACCTACATCACATCATATTGCAACACCAAGAACCAAAACGACATGGTTACCAATACAAACAGAATTCGAAACTTTGGGTGTGGTCTCAACAAAATTCTGATGATTCTACTCCTAAAATAATTACAATATACTGTGGGGATGGATTTCTACTTCGGACCGTGACTGTCGTTCTAAAAGCTAAATCAGAATCGACTGATCCGACTCTCTTTGGGGAGTTTACAAAAAGGGGGGTCCAACAGTCATTCGGAAGAAATAATACGCCATCATCATCATCACCGTCCAACGGATACCTTTATTATTTAGGTAGTGGTGAACTGTGTTATCGACAACTGCTGTGAAGCAACTTTTGCTGAACACATACACAAAAAAATATGGCTACCATCAATGGCCAGCAACTGTTTACTGGTGGAACCTTTGATTTCACGGCTTCTGGTGGTGGTACTGAAGTTTTGGAGGAAGATGTTGAATATGAAGAAGTTGAAGTATCTGCCAGCAGTGGCTCAGATAGTGAAAGCAGCAGCAGTGGTTCCAGTAGCAGCAGTAGTAGTAGTTCAGATAGTGACAGTAGTTCCGGAAGTTCAAGCAGCAGCAGTAGCTCAGGCAGTTCAAGCAGCAGCAGCAGTAGCTCAGGCAGTTCAAGTAGCAGCAGCAGCAGCTCGGGCAGTGGTGGAGCTTCTCCAGAGATTTCCCCGAACAGCTCAGCCAATGGTGGAGTTTCTCCAGTGATTTCTCCTGTATCGAGCTCACAGAAAAGTAGTCCTCAAGCTCCAGACGACCTTGTCTCTCCATCATCAAAGGCCCAAGAATACTCGTCAACTGTAGACGACGATGTTGCATATACCCACGGTTTGCCACTGGAGGACGCTCCGAGCATCAACGTTGAGCCCTCCAATATAAGTGCCGATCGCAGTGCAATAACAGACTGTTTGCCTCCGTCCGATCAATCCTATACGGCACCCCCACTCCAACAATATTATCAACCACTACCGTCACAACTTCCGCAAGATCCCATGGAACGAGAAGCCATGTTGGAATCGTCTCGCGAACTCGATACAGAAATTGCTCAGAAGTACATGGATTTGGGCAAATCGCTCAAACACAAAGGGGACTTTGAGGGAGCTGCACTGGAAATGAATAAAGCATTAGCCCTGCGGCGGAAATGCTTGGGCAAAACTCATCCTGACACAGCCTCGTCCTACTATCAATTGGGATTGCTATACTACCAATCTGGGCAGTACGATCTGGCATTTGGAGATTTGAAACGGGCTTTGACATTAGGGAGAAATGTCTGGGGACGTCAACACGAGGATACCGCCTGTACCTATTTTCAGCTTGGTCTCGTACTGAATGCAAAACAGGACTTCAAGACTGGATTGCGAGAACTGACGAAGGCATACAAAATTTTCCGAAAGATAATGGGCCCGGATCATCCAGCCACAGCTCGAACGCTGCAATACATGGGAGACTCGCATGCGGGAATGAGTGACTCAGCCGGGGCCGTAGTCCACTACAGCAAAGCGTTGGCGATCCAGACGGTTACCATGGGAAAACATCACCCACAGACCATTGAAACCTTTCACAAGATGACGATGGAATTGAACAAACCGGAGAGGAATAGGTGAAATCGAAAAGCTAGAATCCGCTAGAATGATTCAACAGACAAGATTATACCCGGAAGGCGCACAGAGAACCATTCGTCCAGGTGTCACGGGCCAGACAAGGCAATAGAACGATTTCGTACAGCGAATCAATCGCTTCACACCAGTCAAATCACTACAACGATTAAAAAATTCCCAATGCACTACATCATAACAATCTATCCATGGCTCCCAATACTGAATCTCTGCCAGTCAATCACCCGCAATGAGTCAAGCTCTTTCGCTGAATATCGAGAACGGCCCTGCAGAGAAGTGTTCACCGATTCGCGAAGAGACGATCTCGAAAGGAGGCGAGAATTATCGTCTGTCAACTTCTCGGCTTTTCCCTTTGCACCCCATTCGCCATACAATAAAATAGCTTGACCGAAATAGAATTCGCCCCATTCGTCATCTCCCTTTTCCACGAAGAACCTCCCAGCTCGTTCGCACATGTAGGCTTCATGGTGAATCAGTCCAAGACGAGCGCAGGCTTTGATTGCCTTATCATAGCTTTCTTTGGAAGGCGATTCTTCAGCTTCCAACATACTCACAATTGGGTAGGCATTGACTGATCCATACTTCATGTCCGTGGTGAAAAACTTTAGCATCTTCTTTCCAATACCTAAGAACTTCTTGCGCTTCTTCGAGTTCTTGCATACCCGACTAAGTGCGAAGCCTGCCAAGCCCATGTAGCAACGGCGGTAATGTAGTCGAAAGATGAACACTTCTGTCGCGTCAACCCATTCTTCTAAACCATCCAACATCAATTCAGCTGTATCCCAGTCGTCAAAAATGCAGCTCAACATCAAGCGCTGAGAGTTGATGTCACGTTGTGTCATCTGGCAAACCAAGTAGGATTAGAACACGACCTGTTAATGTCAAAATGTGCAATACTGGTGATCGTACCTTCCGCCCATTGCCTTGGACCTTCTCTAATTCCCTTTCTTGGTTCATAGCTTCGCCAACTAACAGAGTTGGGTTTTTTACGTCTGTTTGGCGAAGATTCAAAATTGCTTGGCGAAAGAAAAGGAAGACTTGTTGTATTGTGTATGGAGCCCCAAATTGCTTTGCGTCTTGATGATATAATTGCAAATCAACTTCAAGTGGTGTCAATGGGAGACCAACACAGATGTACACACTGGCATATGCAAGAGATGCGTTGACTGCGTCCGTTGTTCGACCCGATTTCAGCAGATCTCCTCTACCTTCGACTAGTTCATTCAAGCAGTTATTGAATGATCTGACCTGGATGGATACAAGTGAAAGATTAGAAAACGAAGTCGAGTCTAAGGCACTCGTGACTAAGAGATACTCACTGCTCCTAAGACGGTGCTGGTGGCTCCTACTCTCAAATAACCATGGTTCGATCCTGGTTTGCGGGGGAACCTTTCTAACATCTTTAGCGCAAAATCAGCGTATTGAGAAGCCTCTTGGAAGTGCCCCTCGAGCCTCATTTGAATCGCGATATTGAGAACAGACTGGTTAGTGATGGGGCTAAGCCCCAATTTGCAGGCATGTTTGAGAGATCTGACACTTGCAAACCAAGCAAGAAGACGATACTTCTGACTCATGCCTGCATATACTGCCAGATGGTTTATCAGAAGACTCTGAACGGACAGCGCAGTTTCGTCGACCATATCAGGTAACTCCAGTAGCCCTTCCAATTCGCCGCCAGGTAGTAACTTCTTCAGTTTTACCTTTTCAACACATTTTTGCCCAGGATAAAGCTTCTTAGGATGTTTTTCTCCATATAGCTTAAGCACCTCAAGAGTCTTTTCAACCCCTAATTCATAGTCTCTGTCACGACCGGACACGCACCCTTGAAGACGGACAAGATTCGCCCTGAATTGATCGTTTAGAGATTTCGCATTTTCGATAATCAAACCGGCAATGCTGAGGGCGTCCTCAGCTTGACCAATCCGAAACTTTGTTTCTGCAAGGTTTGTCATTAGGTCAAGGGTCAAGTCATAATTGTCAACCCATCTATTTGATACTCCCATGTGCCTTTCAGCTTTTTCTAGCAGCTCGAGGGCAGGGTATAGTGCAGCTTTATCCAAAGAAAGCTTGGCGGCCTGTAAATTAAGTTGCGCTACTTCGGTTCCAAGTGCGCAATCCTCTTGGCCCAAATCTGCGTATCGGTTCATTTGGTTGGCCGCCATGAAAATCATCCATTCTTCGTCGTTCTCCAATCCAAGCCTCCACAAAAGTTTCCCAAGCCTCTGGTGCAAAGTAGGGCGAAAGTCGACAGGAACAAATGAATATGCAACTTCTTGCAGTTTATCGTTGGACCAAACATAAGCTCCTTGGGTCATTGACTTGACAAGAATTCCAGCTTTTGCGGCTTCCGCAAGCAAAGAATCCAAGCCATGCTCATGAATTCCTTGCACCTCAGGACACGAGAGGTGCCCGTCATCGCCTTCTTGATATTTCGAGGAAAAATATTCTATTAGCACATCGATAGGAATAACCTTGCCCAAGCAAGATGATACTTTCAATACGATCCGAGATGGAATGGCAAGCTTTTCCATGGAAGTTGCAAGGATTTCGGCAACATTGTCTGACACTGCAGCATATTCATCGAGCTTTTCGACATCCCCCCACTGCCAGGAGAACGTCATGGGAGAAAATGTGAAGAATTCCTTGATTCGAGCATACCTTAGGAATTGAGAGACCGCAAACGGATTGCCTGCAGTCTTCTTATGAATGACTTTGGACAGAGGAAGCGTTATCTCTGTATTACTTCCAACCACAGAGGCCACAAGTTTATTCAACGAGTCCACATCCAAATCTTCCAGCTCTATGGAATGGACGCCATTTTCAAATGCTTTGATACTCTCCACTGTCGCGCTAGCAAACTTGTTCTTTCCGATCAAATCACCGTTGTAGGAAAGGGCAAGTAAAGTACAACCACTGTGCTCAATGGGATTGGATAGATTGTTGTGAGATATAAGCTCTACGATTTCCATCGATGCCGAGTCGGCACAGTGAATATCATCCAATAATAACACAATAGGCCTTGAGGACGACAGAAAGGTAAAGAGTCTTAGGAAGGCATTGGCGATTGCCACCGATTCCGCGCCCACCTTTTCTTCTGTAACGTGATGATTCTCATATGACTGGGTCAGATTCCGCAGACTACTCATTTTGGTATACTTTATTTCATGGGCCACTTTGCCGACTATTCGAAACATTCCTGGTACTATCCCCTTTAGTAGATCAATGTCATCTTCCAAGAGCTGGCGGAAGTTTGACATCTTGACATGCCCAAGTAAACACTCGTTCGGTGAGCGACTCGCTCATTGCATCACTTTAGTTTTGCGATTCGATGTTCAAAACACTTCACTTACCTGGCAAACAGGAGCCGCTTTATTGTTCTCGAGCCATATTTCCACTAGGCGGTCCAACACTCGAATCAATGCAGAGTACGGTTCTGTACACAAGTCTTTTTCAAATTTCCCCTCTACGAATACCCAGTTCTTTTCCTCCCATTTTATCGACCGCAATAGTGTGGTTTTGCCAGTCCCCGCGGTGCCCTGAATCAGCACACATCTCGATGCCTTTTCGTCGGACATTTTATTCAGCGTATCAAGTTCTTCTTTGCGCCCATATACTTCATCTATTTGCCATAGTGGCCCTTTGTCATCATCTGCTATTACGATGCTCATGGTAACGTTTTAACCCTGATGAAGCTGTTGTTTGTGGTACTAATAAACTAGAGATGTTGTTAAGTTGATGCTATGCAGTGTTGTTGTTGATGAAGAGATGCAGAATTCCATATTCGAAGAGGTTCTTTTTTTAATATAAAAGATGCCTTGGACTTCAACGACTACTTACTACAATACGAAGTGCTTCTTTTTCTACTATGATGACCGAACTTCTACCACCTACTATGTACCAGCATTCGTAGCAACTTCTTCACAGTCCAACCCAGTCGGGTCGCAGCAGTACGAACAACACCTACAGACTATCTCCGGTTGGAGCCCACCACAGTCAGACCAAAAGCTAAACTCTGGAGACCCCGTGCGATCACAAAATAAATTTGCCAATCCGCCTGTCAAGTCGGTGTCATCGAAAAAGACTCGAGACAAGTTCGATAGACGACTCAGTTGGAAAGGCGCTGTACCAGTGATTTTTGTCCCCCACACTGAAAGCGTCTGCAACTGGCTCAAATTCCCGAGCTCGCTCGGCAATGTACCAACAACCGTAGGTGTCTTGGAAAGGTCTAAGAATGTCAGCGAAGTGAAGAGACCAATTTCAGTGGGAATACTACCAGATATTGCACACCCAGAGACATCGAAGTATGAAAGAAGGGGAGCATTGATCAGAGCGGTTGGAATCGTTCCGGATAACTGAGGGTTCTCTTCCAAATTCAGGTACTCCAATCTAGGCATATTTCCAAATTCGGAGGGGACTGTTGATGAAATATTATTGTTGGAAAGTGCCAAAATCGAAAGTGCCGTGAGACTTCCAAGCTCACTGGGAAGGGTCCCTTCCTACGAGTAAGCAACTGATTAGATTAAAATTCATGAAAACAAACGAAATCCAGAACTCAAAGCCAGCTTACAAGAGTATTGCTGCTCAGACCCAACTCCCCAAGTAGAGATAACGATCCCAGTTCACTCGGTATTGTGCCTCCAAATCCGTTGCCAAAGAGTTGAAGATCAACTAGATCTGACATGAGGCCGAGTTCTGCATGCAGTGTTCCTTCAAAGAGATTGTTGGCAAGTCCCAAATACTTCATCTTTCTGAGCCTAGTGATTTCCGTAGGTAACGAGCCTGTCAGTGAATTTTCCCTACCGTACGAAATGGAAAGGAAAAGAAGGTGAGTTGCTTAGAAATGTTCGTCGTTGACAAAAGTCGACAACGAAGACTCACCACAATTGAAGCGATGTAACCTCCGAGAGCATGCCAAGTTCAGATGGGATTTTTCCAGTGAGTTGGTTCAGTGCCGCCGCAAAGTTTTTCAGACTTGTCATTTCGCCAATCGTCGTGGGTATGCTTCCTGAAAAATAGTTAGCTTCCAAATTAATAAACGAGGCTTTACTCGGAAATGATGGCAAGCTTCCGGTGAGCAAATTGGTCCCAAAGTCTATATTTTCTACGTTCTTCAAGTTCCAAAAGGCAAGGTTCGGCAAGGTTCCAGTCAGGTTGTTCCCTCCCATATTGATTCCCCTCACGGAACCATCTGCTGTACAATCGATCATATCCCAATTGCAGTGAGGACTTCCAGTCAACCAAAGAAAGCTGTTGATCCACATCTCATCTCCATTTGTAGCATAATATAGAGTGGCCAAGGCAAATCGCTCCAATAGTTCCGTCGAGTTAGCTCTCAGCGGAACTCCTCGGACATCATCTTCGGCCATCCACGTCAATGCGATGTATTCTGGACCCGATTCTTCCAAGCCCTCAAGTTCCTGCCCTGGCGGCAAAACAAAACTAGCCAAACCTTGCATATAAGGGCTCGGGGTTGGTTTGGTTGTCACTATTGGCGTTGGTGCCAATGACACCACAAACGTAGGAGCTGTGGTAGGGATCGATCGAGCAGCACTGGTAGAATCATCATCTTTGCGGCCAGTGGATACTCCGACTCCAATGCCCAATGCAATCGCTAATATCACTAGGGAAATAACCGTCACTGCAAAGCATGTTCGTTTCGGCATACCACAACGTTTCTCTTCGTCTTCCTCCTCCTCTTCCACAACCGAGTCATACTCAAGACTCTTGGTATCAATGGCAAGGTTTTGATTTTCTTCCTTTTTTGGTGCCGCAGTATTACCATTTGTTTGATTTGGTGTCATTGCTTCAACATCAATATCGTCATCGGCTATTGGCGAGGAATCCTCCATTTGCGCATCAACGAATGCACTCTTGTTGGAAGGAACAGGTAATGGTGAATCATCATTCTCTGCGTTCGATAAATTTGAGGGAACAACAGCATCTGATGGCTGGGAGGTCGAGTTCTCTTCCGATTCCGTTGGGGCTGAAGGTAGTTCTTGCTCCTGCTGAGGCGATTGGACTGCTGAAGAATCTCTCGTAGATTCTACCTTTTCTTTTTCCTCCGATAACGATAAAGATGTTGCCGTTTCAGTTGCTGGTGAGATTGGATGGGTTGAATCGACATCTGAATTCATCCCTTCGTTTTCATCGGATTTTGGTGTTTCCGGTTCCATTGTGCTCCTTTTGAAAGAACAGTTCTGGAGTACTGTAGGCTAACCGACTTTAGTTGAGCTCACTGCAGGACGTATCGTTGTTGATGAGCCCGCTGTCATCATACCGGTATATCCATCATTTCTCTTGCTTTTTTTGGAATATCAACCGATATTTAACGGTCAAAACATTTTCAAAGCTAGTGTATATCAAAACTTACTCCAGCCCCAAGAACTGCAGATGATACCTCAGCAACTACAGCAACTACAGCAACAGCACATCAAAAGGAAGCGAACTTAGTGCACGCACGTTCCACTTGCATTCCATTCCATTATTTTTCACTTGCATCCCGTGCAGCATGTGCAGGTAAGCTCGCAATCCGCTTCAACGATCCTGGCGCTGTTACGACCATCGCAGAAAAGATTTTCCAATCCACCCGTGAAATTGTTGGAATAAAAGTAGGCTGCTCGTATCAAAGACCATCGATTGAATGAGGCAGGTACACTTCCTGTCAACAGATTTTCCCGTACATCAAACATTCTTAGATTGAGCTTGGATAGCTCACTCGGCAGTGTTGATGTGAACTGATTGTACCCCAGTTCCAAGCTGGAAAGACCTACCATTGAGTTCCCAATGGATTCAGGAATTGGACCACTCAACCTATTTTTATTAAGATATAGAAATCGCAATCGGCGCAAAGTGGACATGTCAGTGGGCAATGGCCCGCTCAGCAAGTTGTTTTCCAGTCGTAAGGATGTCAAGGTACTGATCCCAAAGACTTCGGATGGAATTGAAGCGTTCAATAGATTGTTGGCAGCATTGAAATATTCAAGACGCACCATATTTCCAAATTCGGAATTTAGGCTACCATCCAAACGGTTGTCGGTGAGCAACATCCAGGTTAAAGCTGTCATTTCACCCGTCGGTGGTATCTGTCCACTTAGGTTATTGTAGGACAAGGTCAGATCCTGTAGATTGCTGAGTGCACTCAGGAATGGAATGCTACCTTGTAGTTTGTTATTGGCAAGGTTCAGAGACGTGAGACTGCTTGGGAGATTAGCCGGGATTGTGGAGTTCAACCCACTGCCAATGAATTTCAGCACTTCCAGGAACTGTAACTTTGCCATTTCGTTCGGGATAGATTGAAAGCGATTTCCATCACATAGAAGCCCGCGTAGCCTTGTGAGTTGTCCAATATTGTCAAGGGATCCGGACAACATGTTCCCACCAATATTCAGCCACGTTAGCATGGTCAAACTGTAGAGCTCCGTCGGCAGCTGCCCATTGAGACGGTTGCCAGGTAGTAATAGTTCTTCCAAACTGCTAAGCCTTCCAATTTCCGCTGGAAGACTTCCTTGGAGTCCTTTAAATTCCAACTGCAAACTAAGGACGGAACCATTTTCGTTGCATGACACAAATTCCCATTCGCAATGAGAAATGTCGCTTGCCAGCCATTCGGGGGTAGTATTCGTATTGCCCGTTGCAAAGTAGAAGGTAGCCAGTGCATGTCGCTCCAGCAGCTCATTTGGTTCGTTCCATTCAAACGAATCCTCGTCAACAACCCATAGAGTGGCATTGAACTGTGCTGGCGAAAGATCCTCTACTGTCTTGCTAGGATAGAGAAGGTTTAACAGCAGGGTGGTTGAAGCATTCGATGGAGCCATGGTTCGGGACATGTTTGGTGCAACAGTTACGACGGGTAAAGACGCTTCATCACCAACGAATGATGGTGCTGCAATGCCCACGGCAATGGCTGTCACAACTGCAGCAAAAAGTACAATGAAGAACGCAATTCTTGAAAGACCGCAGATCTTTCCATCACTTTCTCCTGGAGGGCGTCCATTGTTTCCGTCTTCTGAATTTAAACCATTACTTTCCGAAGATAGAACGATCGCCAGTGGTCTTTCTTGCAAAGGCTGCTGATGCTGTGTTTCAATGACTTCTTGTACGGCTCGTTGGACTTCCCCTTGAACGATTTGTTCAATGTCTAGAGCAACTTCCGCCTCGATCAAAGTTGTTGGCTGCGTCTCTGCATTGTTATTATTGCTTACATCAGTAGTACTCATGTTCTTGTTGTTGGGCTACCACCAACCATAGCGAAAGAGCAGGGAGAGGACGATCCTATGCCCTCCTACAATCGATGTACGAATATATTATTGCATTTCTTTTCGTGACTGTGCAACGTTGGTCGAATGGATCGACCACTGCATGAAACGTCTTTCGTGTGTCAACAAAAATCGTTTGACTACTGCATGAATGAATGTCGATTGAATCTTTCAGAAGGTGCTGCTGCTGCTGCTTGAAGTGGTTCTAATGTTCTAATGTTACATATTTTAGTCAATCGTTGATCTATGACCGTAATAGCGAGTTTTGATCCGTGCATTTTTGAATAGCATTGTGTTGATTGATACAGTAGTAGTAGCTTGCAAAGCAAGGTTCTGGGCTGCTATCCTGATGATGCCATCGGTGAAGCTGTGTAGTTTCTGTGGTATCACTGTAGCGCCCTTTTTTGCCTTCATTTAGTAAAGGTATATTCCTTCTTAAGGGCTCCCACCAGTCGCAGCATCATCGGTAGTAGTAGCATCCCAATCGACTGTCATAGCTACTGCAACCAAGCTACCGCCTACCAATACAATCGTCAGCAGACTCCAACAGAATATTGATTTGCAGGAGAGCAAATTTTCTACATCCGCCACACGGTATTCCTCCATGGCGGCTCGGTCTTTCATGGCAGTGACACCAGCAGCAGAGGTATGCTTGGCTTCTTGTGCCAGAAAGTAGGGCAGTGGGTTCTCGGGATCATAGGATTCAGAAGGAATAATCACTTCCTCTTGGAAGGATACATTCTTGCTCCTCCGTGGTCTGTTCTGGGACATGCGATCATTGCTGGGACCTTCAGGATCGGCAGATGTCGCATCTTGATGTGAATGACTGTTGCTCCCGTCCATTGACCTCTTTGCTTGATCATCAGAGGTCTTGGTTGTGTTGATGGCCATGATTGAACTCTACCGGTATTATTATTATTGCTTGAGTAAGCTGTTTGATTTGAATTGTGCTTTACGGTAGGTATTATACCGGTACACGTATGTCTGAATCAGATGACGGATTTGGAAGCTTCCACAGGACCTGAAACTGCGCAGCGGGTGTGAAAAGTTTGTCTGTGTCAACGATCGCTTCTTGGTGGGTCAAAATGTGTGGTCAACATCGCGCAGGTTCCGGAACTTGTACCCTTTGTACCGGACATTTTCACGCTCAGATCCACGTGGTTCGTCTGCGTACATCACTGATCAGCTTTTGAAATTCTTATTTAACGCCCCGGGACTTGAAGGTAAACCGGTCGCTAATTTTACCAACGACCAACGACTTCCAAGTTTTCTTTGTTTCACCGCGAAAAATCTCAGATTTAACGCCAGAGGTTTCCGGACGCTTTTAAAATATTTCACAAAGTTTTTTCGTTTCACTACCAAATTTCTATTTAATGCCACAAAATTATCATTTAATGCCTACAAACGATGATTTTCCGGCCCAGCGTATTTGCCAACGACTTCAATTTTCGTTTCACCGCGGCGCATTCATGCTCTAGTAGGCTAGCTAGCGATTGTGACAAGAGTAAGAGTCATTTGAAATCAAATGATACTGTACTGGGTCGTCGTTTCAAAATGTGATTACGGTGGTACTCTTCCTGTCCAACACCTTCGCCTCTCCAACACCCTTTGTTTCATCTAATATGATTCTTACAATAGTCAAACGCTATGTAAGGAACGACCGAAGATTGTTTATCACTCCTCGCCCCCAATAAGGCGGTACGCGATTCTTCAGAACTATTCATTACTTGTGTACCTATGTGGTTACAATACCTACATCCACGACGACCATACTTCATCGTCTGATTTAGTTTCGCCTCTATAGTAAAGCTCTTACATCAGTCGAATGATTTGATATCAAGACCAGAAGAAGTTGCATAGGTATGTGATTTGTTATTGAAGCTAAATATAATGAATCTTTGTTTTCTGTTGACGATGACGTGTCTCCAATCAACTTTGTGAGCGCATAAAAGCTAGTAGGGCAAGCCACTTAGCTACCTACCTACCCACCCACCTTCCTATCCTAGATTTTCTCATCTAGCACCAAGATTTTGTCGGCCACCATCAATAGCGATACATTCCCCAGTCATGAACCGAGCTTTGTTGGAAACCAAAAAGGCAATCAGTTCACCAACTTCCTTGGGGTCCCCTACCCGGCCTAAACTAGCGGATAATGGATGTGTCACGTTGACGCTCCGTTCCAAAAATGATTCATAGGCTTCCTCGTCCATTCCAGCTCTCTGGCATCGCGAAATAAGTGAGTGGATAAGAATCAGGCAGAGATGATGATGATGATTTCAAGATGGGTATGGTCGTGTGTCACAGTGAGAAATGAAAGAAAGAACAAGCAATAAAAGAAAAGATTCGTTTGAGAGACCGTCTTTGGGTATGAACACGCTTTTATGAGAAAATGGTGTTCCATCCTCATCATAGATAGGTTCGGGCCGTCGTGTCGCATCCGAAAGCAGAAAAGAGCAGATTGCATACAGTACAGTAGTCCAAGAATAACGTACCCGATGAATATTCGTTTTGATGACACCAGGATTGACCGAGTTGACACGGATGCCATATGGTGCCAGATCCACAGACGCGCATCTTGTGAGTTGATCGACAGCTGCCTTGGACATGCAGTAGGTTGCACAAGCGGGAAATGATTGTAAGCCATTCACAGAACTGACCGTGACGATTGATGGATGAATAGCATGAAAGGCATCTTCCATAGATATATCAGCAGCAGCTTTCAAGGCTTCAGACGTCTTTTTCAAGAATGGTACAGCAGCCGTGATGATTTCAAATGGGATTTGTGTGTTGATCTTCATGTTGAACTGATAGTTTTCCAATGTTGTGGAGGGACCGCCGATCGCACCTCCACGCAAGGCACCGGCCGCATTCACGACTGTGGTCAAAGATCCACCCAATATCTGGACCGCTTCTGATACCACGCGTGGACAAGCACCGTCTTCCTCGGCAAGATCTATCGCAATGTATCCGACAATCGCTTTGTCGTCATCTTTAAGACTCTTCAATGCTTCTTCATCCCGTCCAGTGCCGACAACTGTTGCACCTTGTTCCGTCAAGACCTGACACGTAGCTCGACCGATGCCTGATGAAGCACCCGTGACTAGACATTTGCAACCCGCTAATGAAGTCATAATACAACAATACAGATCGTAGAATTATTGCAATAGTAAAATAAAAATCTGTGTCGTGTGTTGCGGTTGCTCTGATGTCTCAGTGACAATGTTTCGACATTTTAAACACGAAAGCAGATGAAAATACTGGTAGAGGTGGAAGGTACTGTAATAGGGTCCTGTAGGAACGAAGCAATCGCTTCACAACTTCAACTATTTCAACGGTTGGGACAACGAAGCTTTGTTGTTCGCTTTGAGGTATCTCTCGACTCACATCATTATCAGGCAACGAGGAATCAGTTTTAAGTGTGGGGCGACAAATTCTAATTCTCCCATTGTGTTGCCAGCGGCAAACGACGCAGGGGCTGCTGGTGAACAACTGGAGACAATATCTCGCCATTCAAAGGCGAGACCTTGGGTAATGTCGGGCCCTGAACGCGAATTTGTTGGGTCTCATAGTATGGGGAGAAACATACTGCTCGAAGTGTGGAGGTCTTTATCACTTCTATTCTACAACAAGATGTCTTGGCTTCTACTGTTGGGCCCAATTGTCTTAATCTGTGACTCAACAGAACTGTTTGGAGAAGCCTTCTGTTTTGCCCTCTCGGGAATCGCCTTAATTCCCTGTGCAGAACGGTAAGTGTAATAAGACGCTATGGGTATGCCATACGGCGACTGTCGATTTTTATTTTCAATTACAAACGGCTCTGATGCTTCAACATATCTGTGAAACACAATAGCTTATCATATGTTACCGAACAGGTCGCCGAGCACACGAATGGAACGATCGGTGCCTTGTTGAATGCAACATTTGGAAATGCGCCAGAAATGTTAATTGCAACTGCAGCCTTACGCTCTGGCTATTACCGCGTTGTCCAGCTTGCAATGCTTGGATCTATGCTTACAAATCTTTTATTTGTATTCGGTATGTCATGCGTGGTCGGTGGGTTGCGGTGGCAAGTTCAAGAGCTAAGAATGACCAGTGGCAATGTTAACGCTGGTCTCTTGCTTTTAGCCGTTTCTGGGTCACTACTTCCTGCCGCACTTGTCACATCGGGCCAAATTCAGGGAGCATCTACCAAGAGCATGCCATCCCAACAAGAACTACAATTCAGTAGAATCAATGCAGCGATAATGATTTTCATGTATGGTTGTTTCCTTGTCTTCCAACTTGGTACACACAAAGAAGAGTTTGAAGATGACAATAACACAGTCACGATACCTACTGGAAAACAGGCAAGGCTGGGACCTCAAGATGTTGTACAGAGGGGGGGGGAAATGTACACGGGAAGAAATATTTTTTGCTTGCGGCTTTGGGGGAGGCTTTTGAGACGAGATTACCAACCTTCGTTGTCGTACACTGGAGACGTGGAGTTGTCAAATGCATCAAAAGCGTATGATAATCTTGACCTGCCGAATGGAGTAAGCAGAGAATTCTGTTTGGATGATTCGAAGAGTAGTATGAGCTTTGAAAGTTCGAGCAATTCATCAGGCAATAAGCTCCTTCTGCCCCGCAATGAACCGGCGCGTGATGTCACCTTTCACGATCATTATTTCGACGATTACTATGAGGAAAACGACAATTGCTCGAGGGTTGGGAGAAAGTCAGCAGCGCCGAAGTCTTTATTGGACAACGAAGCAAATTGTTTGTTGCCAGGAACCACTGTAAGGAAAAAGAACAAGAAGGATTTAAGACCCATGCTACCGCTTGGATTGGCAGATCCATCAGAAGAACCTCCTCGACGTAAGTCACGTTTATCACTTGAGGTCTTACACCGTTTCGCCAGTAATCATCGAGTTTTCCTCCTCAGGTGAAACGGCCCCTGAACCGCAAATCAGTTTTCGGGTTGGAATACTTTGGCTATTCGTTATCACTATTGGTATTTCTGCGCTGAGTGATATTCTCGTAGACACAATTCATGGCTTTGCCTCTCGTCTTGAGCTCAGCGAAGTATTTACCTCTGTGATCATTGTTCCTTTCTTTTCAAATGTTGCGGAACAAGTTAGTGCAATTTTGTTTGCTTATCGAAACGAGATGGATTTGTGTGTGGGCGTCACAGTTGGAAGTGCTATTCAAGTTGCCATGTTTGTTTTGCCTGGCTGTGTCGTCATCGGAATGTTTGTTGACCGATCAATGACACTATATTTTCATGCTTATGAGACCGTCTGCCTCTTTCTGGCTGTTATTGTGGTTGCAGCCATACTACAACGCGGAACCACAAACTGGCTCGTAGGACTTACAATGGTTGGAATCTACACTATGATTGCTGCAGGGTTTTGGTTCCACGAATATGAGGACTTGTCTATCGATGCTGAGAGTATTAGAAACAGAAATACGACCACAAATGTTTGAATGCACCAGTCGAATATGCCAAATGCTATATTCTATTTCCTCTATTTTGCTGCAAGAAGCGTCAGATTCAACAACTTTGCAGTCAACTAATTTATCTTCCATCATTTCGAACTTGACCTTCTTTTTCGTTACATAAAATGAGAGCACCACGGTAGAGCTACAGGAATGAATCAATTAGTCCAAGAATGCATGTGATACTTGCACGATGGCCCGTTCAAATGGCAATCGGATTTCTTGAGGATCGGACGAATTGTCAAAATATTCGACCACCACTCGCGGATCACCAGCCACGACGAGGTTGGAATAGCGGCCAGATATATTTTTAATTCCCAAGACGAGTCGCTTGCTTTCGTTTATGTGCATCGCTTCAAAGACGTGGATATCGCCTGTTTTGGTTGTCAAAGTAAAAAAGCATTGAATTTCCTCGATTTCCCCAGCTTCTAGGTTGTCGCGCATGTCATCGGCGCTGGACACACTAACAGAATGAATATCGAGCAACGAGACAGAGCGAGTCAAGATCTTTGTGTCTTTTCCACCACCCATCGTAGACCACTCGATCTCTGGTTGGAAAACTTGCAATGCATTGCATACGCCAGTTTTGAAATTCATTGTGACTGAACGACCTTGCCAATCAGCTTTCTCTTCTTCGATGGTCAAAGATGGCTGATGGTAGACAAGTGCAAACCCGCTCTTGAGCAGTTCCTGTGATAATTGCCATTATCACCGATAGAAAACAATGAGAGAAATAAAAATTAAAACCATTTTGAAATAAAATATCACGAAACTGACCTGAAGAAACTTTGTTGCAAATTCCTCACTATAGTAGGACATCTTTTTCGGCGGCTTCTCAACCAAAATTACACCTTGTTCGGCTGTTCCGTTGCCTCTTTGTTGCCATGACTCGGGTAACATCACCTTCAGCGCATCTGGCAAAATATCACATCCTTCAAAGCTACCAAGCAGGTTTCTGTTTACCGTAGTATCCTCCCTTCGAATGTTTTCATCCTCTTCCAAATTCACTTCATCGTCATCGAGAAACAATGTGTTATCTCCTGCAGTATCACCTGACCTATGGGCGTCATCTTTAGTTTTGTTATCTTCATACATTTCCGGCTCATCGAAATGCTGGGTTGATGGAGGGGTATCGTCGTCTTGATTTTGACGTGCAGCCCCCGAACCATTGGTATCTTTGTCACTCTTGTCAGGAGTTGTGACACTGATTCTTGTTCGGTGTTTCTTTTTTACCCGGGATTTCTTGTCGTCTTCGAACTTTGACTCTTGGTTATCCACTGCCATTGTTTCGCTCCCTTCTGAAATAGAAGCAGGGTTTGTTGGTACAGCAGTGCCAGGTGATTCTGCGGTTTCTGGTGTAGTCGGCACATCCTTCGTGCCAGGTGTTAAAAGTATGGTTTTACCACTTTCCGATGCTGTATTCACGGCATTGCCCTGCGCTGTCTTCTTCGACTTCCTCGAGAAAAAGCCCATTGTTAGATGTTGGGAACCTCAAAAAGTGGTGTTGACGTGCGTTCGTTTTGGCCTGTTGGATCGTGTTGGTTCATCTGCGCACTTTGAACTTCTCAACGTATACTGAATACTCTTGTCGCCACGCGGTCTGAAAATGCCCACAATACCGGTACACGTACTGTACCTACAGGTAGTACCGGTACTGTACTTGTGGTGCAGGTGCGCGTTAATTGGACCAGAGAGTGTCCGTCATTCGTACATTTACAACTAGTTAACGACAATTACACAGCACCCGAGCGAGTGGACTTCCAAATACCACAGCCAACGGCTTGTGAAGTCTACTACTCAACCTGTGGAAGGCTTGATCAGCAAAACCGCCATTGTCAAGACACACTACAGTTGGAACGAAAATTGAAGTGCCACTAGTGGCATATCAGAGTGGGTATTTCCATGTTGGGAATTATCATCACTGATACTTGGGCCTTATACAAGCGAGCTACAAATACAACAGAGGCACAGAAAACCTTCCATTCCAACTTGCAGAGGAACTAATCAACAACAGGTACGACAATCAACGGTCTTTACGAAAACCACCTCGAAATCCTACAGATTTATCCACGGTTTTTGGTAGTCCCACCACTGCAAGGAATGGGCTTGGAATCCACCTAACTCCAACAAAACGCAAGCGGAGGAGCAAAGGACAGGAAATGTGCAGCTATATCAAGTTAGATGCTGCATTGAGGGCTGTGGCAAGAAGACAAGCTTCCAGTGTTCGGCTTGTGCGAATTTGACAGACAGAGAGGAAAGTCCAAATCACGAAAAATGCTACATATGCAGTCCTAAAATAAACCACGATTGCTGGCGGCAACACCTATTTGATAAACATTCTTCTAGATAACCAATAGTCTATTTTACTTCTATTGTGTTCAAAAGTAGGTGTTTTGTCATGGTCGAAGTGTTTTTTTTGTGTTGTTGTTGTTTTTTGTGTTCATTTTGTACCAAGATGGTCCGTGCGTATATCCGATAGACACTCTAGAGATTCGCACACATCTTTTAAAAATCCCCATGTTTGTCATCGTACTCGTTTTCGTCCTGAATCTCTCGTACTCAATTTAACGGTTTATTAGACCCACGCAATCCACATTGTGGATTGAGGAGCCTGGGAAGGCTTTCGAATGATATCTGTTTGAGGAAATCGCCTCATTCAGCCATGGTTAGGATCACCATTGTCGTATCGATCTCCTGATTTTTCATGCCACAATTTCGGAGTTTGGATGCGCACCGAAGGCTAATCATGTCGCAGCGTTAACTAAATCGTTCGCCAGCGAAGGCTAAACGGCAGACATGTCATGCGTGCAACCATCCGTGCCATGTTTATATACAGCTCTCAATATGAGATGCTTCAACATTTAGGGCTAAATTATTTGAAGTTACCAGATATCACCAAGGTTCGCCTTCTGGTGATTCTCTCCGGTGATTTCTGACTTCAAGTCCGACACAATTCGACTCTGAAACCAAACAACACATCAAAAAAAAAGTCAACACATCATCGCATCACAATGGCTGCTGTTATTCAATTTCGTAACTGGTGCGAAGTTGATCTCCTTATTCGACCCGTTCTCATGCAACACATGACCGATGTTGAAGGCCTTGACTCTGTTGATTCCTTCGCCAACAGAACCACTTCTCAAGTTTGTGAAGACATCAAATCCATGTGAAGAGCTCCTGATCCCAACAATGCAAATGCAACTATTGGAGTCACCGCTCGTGAAGCGATGACAATCCATCGTATCTCCAAATATGGGAAGCTCCTCATTTTGGTTCAAAGAACCCATACACCAGCCCTTAGAACCATTCCAAATCTCCTTTTTATTGGTCAATTCTATGATGAAAACCCAGATCTTATGGAAGGGGACTCCTACCCACTTCCTCCACATCCTCCAAAGTTCAACAATTGCGATGGTCGAATCATGATGGAAAACATTGAAAGTTGGGCTCGTACTGCCTATGGTTACCGTGGAATTTGCCTTGATTATATTTTCCGTGAAAATTCTGCACTTCCACTCGTTGGTGACCCTGGTTTTCTCAAAGCCGATGATGGCACTCGCTCTATTGACGAAGAACTTGTCCGACGTGCTGCTCATACTGGCGCTGTGTTCCATTGTAACAACCAGAAATTTTGGGTTATGCTCCATGCCGTCACTCATGAAACCGATGCTTACAATCACGTTTGTCAATTTGCTCCAACTTTGAAAGGCCAAGCTGCATACTTCGCTCGTTTTGCACAGTATCGTGGAAGGGGGCACTTCACCAATGAACGCCAAGCTGCTGTCCGTGTCCTTGCAACACTTCACTGAAGCTTGGGGCTTCACTTGGAATACTTTGATCAGTGGCCTAATTGGAGCCTTCAACGACCTTGAGTTGAACGGTGATCCACGCTCTGATGCAAATAAGGTTGACATACTCCTTGAGAAAACTGTTGGAGATTCCTCACTTTCCAATGGAAGATCAAATATTACAGGAGATGCCGTTCTCCGCTCCAACTTCCAAGGTGCCATCGATTATTTAACAACACAAGTCTTAGCTGCAGGTAACGACAACACCCAGCGCTGCAATCGACAACTTGCTGCTTTCACACAAGGTGGTGGTGGCGGATGTGGTGGTGATGGGAGAAGTGGAGGCCGTGGCCAAGGAAATGGTGCCTCAAACCGCCTGCAATCAAATGTTCCGGATCGCTTTAGCCGCAATGGTATCCTACTAAATGATGGAGATTATTCAAATCAAATCTGGAGAAAGGAGTTTACGCAAGAAGAAAGAAATATTTGTCTAGAGAATCGCCGCAATGGTGGTTGTGGTGGTTGTGGCCGAAGAGGCCGCGAAGGCCGTGGTGGTCGCGGTCGTGGTATCATAGCTGTCCATGATGGACGAGCTGATCAAGAGGAAACAAAAGAAGAAGATAATACTGATGGGCGTGGGGCAGGTGTAGGAATGAGTCGTCGCCGTCGCAACAATGGTGGCCGCGATTGACTAGCAACCTCATCTGTTGGATCCCTCACAAGTACTTGCCCAAATTCTCATATGGCATTGGTGCTATCATCCACAAACAGTCTTACCAACCGATGTGAACTAGACTCGCACGCAGATACATGTGCTTTTGATCCTGATGGATGTTGCGTCCTTTCAACGTCCTCTCAGTCAATCAATGTCACCGGTTTTCACAGTGGTTTAAAAATCAACGATGTTTGAATTGGAAATGTCTGCCTTGCCTATGACTGCCCATTTGATCATCGAACCTACTGTCTGCATTTCTGTGAAGTGCTTCTGATCCCTGGTCTAGGATCGCATCTGCTCTGTGTTGATCAACTGCGTGCCAACAACGTAGTGGTAAATGACGTGCCGTTAATTTGATTGCGGCCTGAACAACAAAACAGAGAAGCTCATGCTATTTTGACATCGGGTCTAAGGATCCCACTACTATTTGACAAACCAATTTCCTACTTTACATGTCACCAACCTACAGATGAAGAGGTCAGCGATATAATGGAGTTTCAACCTAT